GGGGGAGGGTCTTCGCGGACACGAAGACAGACGCAGATACGTAGACAGACACAAACAGACACAAAGAGAGACAGACAGAAAGGAAAGGGCAGGGGGGCGAGGGTCTTCGCGGACACGAAGACAGATGCAGATACGTAGACAGACACAGACAGACACAAAGAGACGCAGACAGACACGCAGGGAGGGGGAGGGTCTTCGCGGACACGAAGACAGACGCAGATACGTAGACAGACACAGACAGACACAAAGAGAGACAGACAGAAAGGAGGGGCGGAGGAGGGTCTTCGCGGACACGAAGACAGACGCAGATACGTAGACAGACGCAGACAGACACAAAGAGAGACAGACAGAAAGGAAGGGGGGACACGGTCTTCGCAGACACGAAGACAGACGCAGATGCGTAGACAGACACAGACAGACGCAGATGCGTAGACAGGCAGAGACAGACACAAAGAGACACAGACAGACACGCAGGGAGGGGGAGGGTCTTCGCGGACACGAAGACAGACGCAGATACGTAGACAGACACAGACAGACACAAAGAGAGACAGACAGAAAGGAGGGGCGGAGGAGGGTCTTCGCGGACACGAAGACAGACGCAGATACGTATAGACAGACAGACAGACGCAGATACGTGGACAGACGCAGACAGACACAAAGAGACACAGACAGACACGCAGGGGGGGGGAGGGTCTTCGCGGAAACTGGGGGGGAGGAGGGGGAGGGGGGGGGGAACCAGAGATCCAGACATCCAGACATCCAGACATCCAGAGATATGCAGAGATCCAGAGATGCAGACATCCAGAGATCCAGGCATCCAGACATCCAGACATCCAGAAACATCCAGACATGCAGAGATCCAGGCAACCAGACATCCAGACATCAAGAGATCCAGAGATGCAGAAATCCAGCCGACGTATTTTCCCGCCGCAAGGGACATATATATATATATATATACACATAATTATATTCACATTAAACTTTAAACCTATAGAACACATATCAACAAAAGCAACACAGAACACACCGCCCCCATGCCAAAAGCATGGTCCATTCTGGACCAGGCGTGGGGTCGGCGGATTCTATTCATGGACGAGCTCCTGCACCAGTTGGGATCAATGTGGGATAAATCATCTATCAACTCTTCCACGTGCTTGAGAATATTTGCTAATTCCCCTTGTTGGTTCTAAAGGGAATCTATCACTACTGTTCATTTTCAGGGGGCTTAAACAAATGAAAGCACTGATGCAGGATTTCGTCTGTATTTTGGAGCTCACCTGGATCACACTTACCGGATTCCTGCCTCACAAACGTTGGAACCTGCAGGGGTTCCTGGACCATGTTCCTTTGAGGGGTGCAGGTTCCATGTTTCCGTTTGGAAGTGCATATGCCTCTAGGTCCCCCAGTGGTGCCCTTTTACCCTTTTTTGGGGGGGAGGTTCCCCTACTAAAATACTGTTCTAACCTCTCTACTAGAGGACCTAGATGGACCTAGTCTTGTAACACTTCGCCGAGTTCTTTGAGCAACGATCCGTGGGCTCATCTCACCACATCGTCGGTTCCCGCCATATGAAGCAAGACAATCAATCACCACAGGCCGTGGGTGAATTGCAGAGTTGTTCACCTTGTGCATGTCGTAAATCAACCGTACAAAGCAGGAATGGGCAAAAAGGTTTCTTGACTTTCAGGGGGTCTCTGCATGCTCTCAAGGGGGTCAAAAGGCTCTCTCCCGGCAATGGAACCATGTTCTAGGCGGCCTTCTGCGACCTAGGTGACTTTTGCAAATCGACGTCCTGATTCTGATCCCAATCATCATTTCACCTTTCTCTGTAAACAACTGGTGATGACCCTTGACCCAACAAGGCCGGGTTCCCGAATTCGACCATTGTGATGAAACCTACGTGCCTTTTGATCACTTGGGTCTGTTGCTGAAACAAAGATCCCCCCGGCACTCGGCCCGACAACCAGTTGCTTTACCCAAACTACCAAGTTTACCAGTCTTGTATTCTTCGGGCCAGCCAGTTTTGTTTGCTGCTTTGTTGTTTCAGGTATCTTTGGGGTTTCTTACGTACAACAATCTCGGGTGCAAAGATCAGGTCGGTTTATTCCTCGGGTCTGTCAGGTACTATTTGGGTTTCTGTTCCCTTTCTTTTGCAGATTGAGCCTTTGAGGCGTGAAGGCTCGGACTCTTTGGGCCTTTGCCTTCCTGGGAGTAGGTTCAGGAGCAGTGCATGATCTGCAGAAGAAAAAACAATATGCCGTCCAAGCCCTTCCCTGAGAGTCGGCGCGGGGCTTCGGCCGCCCTGAGAGCCGCTGGAAGTGGCCGAGGCAGCGAGGTGCTGATGGCCATCTTGCGGGAGATGGTGGCGGCGGAGGGCTCCGGCATGCCGGGAGACCCCGTTTGGCTGTCAGATCGAATCCCCAAAACGGGCCCCTTGGTGAATGGGCATGGCTCAAAGTGAAGGAGCTGGGGTTACGCGTGTAGCCTTTGCTCCCATTTTCCCACGGTGCCATTTGCCGGTTTTTGGAGCCACAAATGGAAGCAAAGACCCGAAAGGAGCACCCGTTTTTGAAGGAATTCGACCGGATCGGTGGATAGCGTGGCTCCACACCCTGGAGGTTTGACGGCGCTTCCGGGAGTTCGGATGGCTCCAGACCCTGAAACAAAGGTCCTCCAAAAGTGGTGGAAAAATGAACAGATTCCGGGCGTCCAGCTTTTGGTGGATGGCTAAAAGGCACACCCCGAAAAAAAGAAGAAGGGCTTCGTCATTTTTTTTTGGGTTTTTTTAAATGTTTTTTAAATGCCAACTTTTGGAAAGGAGATCTGCAAAACCCTGCTAAAGCGTTGCGCCAGGACTTCACATCGATGGGTCCGTGTTGTTTTTCCCCCTCACACGGGAGGCCCTAAACATGGAGACACAATTTTTGGTTTTCCTTCCATCCAATGTGAAAAGGGTAGCCTCAACTAAATGTACACGTGGCTTTGTTCTCCCGCCGCTCAGTTCTTCCGAGGTCGTGCATGTTTGTGCCAGACATGCGCAGGGAGGGTGAGATGGATAGCGCGGCGCCGCCGCCGCGCTTGGGAAGTGACAGTCGAGCCATTTCCCCGCTTTGTTTGGGGGAAATGGAACCAGGGGATTCTCATGATACGATGCCGACAAGTATTCCAAGCCAAGGAACAACGAAACCCTCGCATTTGTTCCCTGAAATACCATGGTTTGTGGTTAAGCATGGGTTGTTACTTTCAATTTCATATTTAGGGGTATCCTCTGTTCCTTTTCCTGAACAGTATGCCCAATGCTTCCGGAATGCCAGTGGGCTTGCTGCCATGACCAGTTCGTTGCCCCCGAAACGGGAAACAGCAACGAGGGGCTTTTTCCCTGCCGCTTTTCTTTCCAGACACGCAAAAGTCGTCCACCTCACCTCACAGCGCGTCCAAAAATGAAGGACAAAAAAGACCAGTACTTCTTGTTTATATTTCCCATTCTTCGTTTGCTACCATTCGGTTCGCTCTCCAATTCTTGCACTCCAATTTGTTAGGCTTAGCTTCCCTTGGCGCCCTTGCCACCCAATGACCGCATGTTGCAACATGTTTCGCCAGTTGGATGGAGCCTTTTGCCATGTACTTGGGAGCATTCCGACCCCCGCCCCCCCCACCCCAACCACCTCTCTCCCCCCCTCCCCCCACCCTCCCCCACCCACCCCACACCCAACCCCAGAGGTGCATCTGAAGATCGCGGAGCTCTCACAGCTGCCCACCTCCGCGGCGGCGGCTGGGGACTACGGCAACGTGCGCTACCTCGCGCCCGCGCCCCCGGAAGGGGGGATCCAGTTTGGGCGGGTGAAGGGAGCGGTGAGGTTTGCGCCCGGAGTTGGCCTTTCCAGGATGAGTTTGGAAGACCTCTGGAAACCATATTGGGTACAGGAAGTTCCCCAAAGAGCCGGGAGGCCGTCCAAAGTTTTGGACAAGGCCTTTGTTCTTTTTTGGTTGGGGGGGGTTGGTTTGGTCTGAGAAATATTGAGCTAGTGTCCGAAAAGTTGTCTCAATATTCAATTGGGAACTCTTTAGTTTCCTTTCCTTGCTGCGACAGGCAGGCCCAGAAATGGAATAGCCCCTATAAACTTATTTCGATGGTTTTGCCTTTCAGGGAATCCCCAAATCCAAGGAAGTAAGTAAGGCTCAATTCCTCTTCCACTTTCTCCACCCGTCATCCCCCTCTTTTTGGTTGCGGCTTCTCAGAGGAGCTTCCGGGCCCTTGAGGCGAGGCTTTAGCCTTTGGTCGCCCCCCCCCCCCCCAAAAAAAGAAAAGAAAAGAGAGCGGCGGTTCCCAGCGAAACCGATCATGTTTTGGGCCAACATCGATCTTTTTACGTTTGGAACCGAGGATGTGTCTCTGAGGCTTGCGTGTCTGCCAAAAGAGATGTGGAACTCCAACATCTCTTCTGCACTCTAGGTTTCGCTATGTCATCCTACACTCAGAGGCTTTCATGTTGCCCAAGTTTAGGCAGGGGTCAAAGTCAGAAATTATGGTTGGTTGTTTTAACCGCCTACTTACACTCCCTCATGGAAGCTCCCCTAGTCGGCCTCGGCAAATAGGTCACCAAGTCTTCCATGTCGGGGTCCGTTCGAATCGCTTCCATGGGCTCGCCCTTGGGGGGTTGACTCCGGGCTTGGCAAGTGGAAGGTAAGTTGAAGCCACGGAAACCACTCGATCACCCACTTGGGGGGTATCATCTGCAGCCAGCCCATTGGGGAGGAGCTGGCGATATCGCCTCGGGTTAAGCCCCTTTTGTGTTTGTTGCGGGCGGTGAATATTTTGCTCACTTCCTGAGCTCCGTTGCGGACAAACTTTGGGGAAGACCATTTTAGTGGCATATAGAAAGTTCCTGGGTTCTTTCTGTCGCCAATCCACTCAATCGGAAGTGAGACAAGATCACCCTTTGCCACTTTTCCAGTGAGTTCCCTGTGTGGTTGTGGAAAGTTGGCTGCTTAGGACCACATTCTCTGATGCCCAGAAAATATCTTTGCACAAGTATGTTCCTTTTTCTCAGCAAGGCGCGTGGTAAGCACCTACCTTCTTTCTTTTTGACTTCCACAAGGTTGGTGATAGGATTGGTTTGGATTTGGATTTGAACCCCTGGCTTTTTGAAGAGAACAAGGGTTCCCCGCCTCTCAGCACACCAATCCAGCCATGGATTCGTGGAGAAAACCGCCGATTGAGCCACAAACAAAACCCGGGTAGATGAAGGTTAGTAAGGGATAGTCCCAACCATAAATGGGCGTGGATATCCGCCCTTTTGAATCTTGAGGCATGGCGGGTCCCGACCATTTTCAGACCAGGTTTTTGTGGAGGAAATGGGACCCTAGGCACACTACCAACCACCCCCCAACCTTCTAAGGGTGGAAGTACGTACCCCTTGTTCATCCTTTAAGGGGTTCATTTTTCCAAGGGGTATGTAAAGGTATGTATGTTTCTTGCACTTGTGGAAACCTCCAAACCACCAGGCTCTAACCACGCCAGAAAAATATCAATTGGAAGGCAACCGGACTCGGCGGACTCGAGTGACGCGACGGCCACAGGCAGCAGCTGCTGGACGTCGTGCCGCAGGAGTCGTATCAAGACCGTGCCCGGAACGCCCAGCGGCTGGAGCGCGGGGAGATCGGGGTACCCAAACCGCATGGGGGAATTTCTGGCATCGAGCAAAAGGGGGGTTTGACGGACAAGTTTTTTTGAATCCATTTTGTGGGTGCCAAAAAAGATGTTGGAGCGTCAAAGTGGATTGAACTGAGAAGTGAAGGTTCTGGTATTTTTCATGGGAGCCCTGCAGACCCTTGGAAAGCAGGGCCGGTTTCTTGACCGCCTTCAGCTGTGCTTTGTTCCGCGACCGTTGCAACCCGTCGTCTTCACGGGTGGGGAAGGAGCCGACTAAGATATGGGCCATGGTCAAAAGAAAACGGTTCCTTTGCCCGGAGTTAGCCTAGGTCCCCCAGCTAGGTACCCTTTCTCACCCCTTTTTTGGTTGGGAGGGTTCCCCTACTAAAATAGACTACAGAGAAAAGGGTACCCTTATTCTAACCTATCTACTGGAGGACCTAGTCACGTTGGGATGGTACGCCTGGTAAGGATCCTTAGCCGTTGCAATGGGCAACCATGACCCAATCGCCAAAGGAAACGGAGTTTTGACCATGGCTCATATGTGTCTCAAAATAGGAGCCGGACCCTCACGTGGTTGCTTTCCTGTTGGTTTCTGTTGGTTTCCATTTTTTGGATAACTCAAAAAGGGGCAAACAAATGGCCATGAATTGAATCCGACATTAGTAGGATGTTTGCCCAAAAAGGAATAGTGCTACTATGGATGGACGAAATCTATTTCAGGCAACCTAAGAAACCCTGGAATGACTTGAAGACCCTGTAAATACCAACAAACATTAAGGTGTCATTCCCATGGCTGCATTTCGTGGTGTGAGACTCGCGTATTTTGCAACCATCCACAGTATCTTGTTGAAGAAACACAGAGACATTATCTAACATTGACTCTACCTCCCACCAATAAAACATGGAGCCTGTTGCCCAACAAGTGCTTGGCGATGCCAACAAAGGTTTCTTTCATAGGGATCCATTTCTCATTTCTGGGTGAACATTGAACAACTTGCCTATATATATATATATATATATATATATATAGAGCCACGGGTGATATATGCTATCCCATCTAAACTACGGATGACCAATACCAAAGCCTGCCCAGGTTTTGCGGGCCCCATTTCACCAACCCGAAAAGTTGACCCCTGTTTCAGGGTAAAGCAGAGTCTTTCCACCAACAACAGGGCCCCTCAATTTCCCTTTTAAGGACCTCCCAAAGTGGCAGTTTCAACGGAACCCACGAGCAAGGCAACTTTTGGACGAAGTCCGGTGACCACCTGAACAGGCTAATGTAAGAGTGACTCCAGTTGAACCATTTCCGTGTTCGAACTTCCAAACGTGGCAATTTGCCATGAGCACCAGCAAATTGATCGATTTTTGATTTGGGGAAATCCGAAGCAGACTCCTGCTCTCCCTTTGGTAGGTGTTTTGCAAACGCATTCGGTGGACGCCGGGGTTTCCCCGTTTCCGGATGCAAATGACTTGAAAAATCCAGTGACTCCGGCCGATTCGATTTCCCATGAACACCACCAGCAAATTGATAAATTTGATTTGGGAAATCTGAAGGTGACCCCTGTTGTCCCCCTTAAGCAGGGTTTGCTCCATTTCGCTAAAAGTGGCAATTTCCATGAACGCCTGTACATTCATCAACCTTATGCGGACATCCGAAGGTGACCCCTGTTCAGGTAGGGTGGATGTTGAAACGAGTCGCCTGGACACATATGCTTGCATATTTTGACATCACAAAGTAGGCTTGAACTCAAACCAACAGGGAGCCCCACTTAAACCCAGTGGTTGTCTGGGTTGAAGTCCGTGGGGTAAACCCAAAAAATGGACCGGACATGGCCCCTTCGTGGGGGGGGGGTGAGGTGCGGGCCTTTCGGGAGCAACTGGAGAAGCTCACGCCGGAAACAATGAGCGACGAGGCGAGTTGGCGGAATCCCGGCGGGGGGGGGAGGGGTGGGGGGAAGGGGGGGTGGGCGGAGGGGGGGATGCAATTTGGGTCAAGCAGAGTTCTCCGCTCCTTTCTTTTTAAAAGCCAGGCTTCTCTGCTTTTGTCGGGACTTTCACTTTTTCTGCATCACTTTGGAGCAGGGTTCCCCCCGGTCGATTGATTGGGTGCTTCCGCTGGTTTTTGTTGGTGTTGCCATTGGCCCTCCTTCGGCTGCAAAGCGGCATCGCGCTTTGACTCGTGCGGGCCGTGCCGCAAAATTGTTGCCTGGATCGCCAGTTGCTACTTTTTTCCATGAACTTTACCCCAAAAACCAGCAAGGGTGACTGAAAAAGGCTGCAACTTGGCTATTTAGGTGGTCCCCAAATTTCGTGCGGTTGAGTCTCGGTGAGTTCCTCTCAGAGCTTTTTTTTTCACCGAAGCTGAGCTTTGGTTCCGGGCTGCGGTGGCGCTCCGATTGTCTTCAAGGCTTACAAAGAACAATTAGAAATCCATTCCTGGATCGCCACTATGGCATGTCTGGGAAAAATCGAACGCAGCTTGGTGGCAGGTTGGTGTTCCAGGAAGGCTGTTGCAAGTTGCTGGCCTTTGTTTTTGGTCACTCCTGTTTCTTCCTTGGGGAATCCGCCAGATTCGCTATGTGGGCATCAACATCAGTCCCCATGAACATGCTTCCTTGTGGGTTAAGTGATGCCAAAAGGCCCCGGATGGATTTCACACCCACTGTCCATAACGTCTTCAGTCCGATTTGGGTGTCTCAAAATCAAGCCCTCAAACAGGGCTGCTTTTCAAAAAGCGTCCCTCAAGCAAACCAACCCAGCCGAAACCCACAATCGGCCACTTAGAACCGGCTATCCAACGGTTTGGTGTTCTTCTGTTTTCATAGCACCTTCGGCCCCCCAGAAAAGATCCAAGACACAAACAAAAACGAGAAATAACCACTTTTAGGTGTTTCTTTGCCCAGGCCAAAACAGGGTTTCGGGTGGGTCTGTCTTCTTTTTGGGGTGCCATTTTTTTTAAAACAAGCACAAGCCCCAAAACAGGGTTTTGGGGACAGGTTTGTCTCAAAATATAGGGGTTCCCCCGCCTCAAAAGGTTTGGCTTCCTTTTGGCCTCCCTTTAAACCAACCCCAAGAACACAAAAAACGACGCATTCGTATCTCGGGTGGGTCTGTCTTGTTTTTGGGGCGTCCCTTTTTTTGGGCGGTTTTTTCAAGGGACACCAACAGGACCACCAAACGGGGCCATTTCGGGGTCCGATTCGGTCCGATTCCAAAAACCAAAGTGGGACACAAACCCTCCTGAACTCAAACCTTGCTGACGCGATAGGGAATGTGAAATGGAATTCAGCGGGGGATCCCCGAATTCAGGAAACCACCAGCAAGGGATGGTTTTTCTCGGGGTCATTCCAATTCTCATTCCCAGCGTTTTGGGATTTGTGAAAGGACACCACCAAGGGATGGAGTTTTTCTCGGGGTCATGAGGACAATTCTCAGGGTGGGTGCAAAACCAATGGTACCATTTTGGGGTAGGTGAATTCACCACCCATTTTAGAACCTTTAGTGGTCGGATTGGTTGATGTTCACTGGGGCGTAATTAACCGGGCTTTGACCCATGGCCATGTGGATTGCAAAATCCATCCGTTTCGCACCACGGTTCATGAAACCATGGCTCTCCTGACAACAGCCCATGTCTGACAACAGCCCATGGCTCTTCTTTCTGACAGCCAGAACGGTATGCTTCTGCCTTCGCGGCCTCCGTCAGGCGTGCGTGATTTGACAATATGACTGTCCGAAAAAGTTTGTCTTACATAAAATCATTCTTAAAAAAAAAAGAACAGGGGGGCCCGTTAAAAAAGAACGAGAGCTTCCAACACACTGCTTGAATGTAAGGCCTGGAGCCTGCTTCAGCCAACGTTAAAAAAGGGAAAGAGCTCCTGCAACACACAGGTGTGCTTATCATGTTGGAACGGGTGTGCTTATCATGTGCCAGCATATGCGCAGTGTGGCGGGTGTGCACTGGAACGTGTGTGCTTATCATGTGCCAGCATGTGGGCAGTGTGGCGGGTGTGCCCCGGAACGGGTGTGCTTATCATGTGCCAGCATGTGGGAAGTGTGGCGGGTGTGCCCTGGAACGTGTGTGCTTGTCATGTGCCAGCATGTGGAAGTGTGGAAGCGTGGAAGTCTGGAAACGTGCAAGTGTGACAGTGTGGAAGCGCCGAAGTGCGGAAAGAGGTGCTGCCATCCGCAGAAACTGACCTGTCGATGACTGTGGAAGTGCGCATCGAAGCAAACATGACAAATCTCCACATGTCATGTCTACGGAAGTGGAGCAAACATGATAAACTACCATATAACGGTTTCGGTTGCAGTCGCTGCGGAGGTCGCGGGTTCGCTTCGGTCCTAGTTGCTGGCTCGCTTCGGTCCTAGTTTTCATCTCGCTTCGGTCCTAGTTTCCTTACTCGCTTCGGTCGTAGTTTCTTCGCCGTTGACTATGGTGTTTGAAAGGCAACATCCTTGTCGACCCCACCCCACCCGGCATGTCTTGTTGTTAGGTGTTTGAGAGGCAACATCCTTGTCGACCCCACCCCGCCCGGCATGTCTTGTTGTTAGGTGTTTGAGAGGCAACATCCTTGTCGACCCCACCCCGCCCGGCATGTCTTGTTGTTAGGTGTTTGAGAGGCAACATCCTTGTCGACCCCACCCCGCCCGGCATGTCTTGTTGTTAAGTGTTTGAGAGGCAACATCCTTGTCGACCCCACCCCGCCCGGCATGTCTTGTTGTTAGGTGTTTGAGAGGCAACATCCTTGTCGACCCCACCCCATGTCTTGCTGGTAGGTGTTTGAGAGGCAACATCCTTGTCGACCCCACCCCACCCGGCATGTCTTGTTGTTAGGTGTTTGAGAGGCAACATCCTTGTCGACCCCACCCCACGCGGCATGTCTTGTTGTTAGGTGTTTGAGAGGCAACACCCTTTGCGTGTGTCCTGTTGTTAGTGCTCAAAAAGCTATCTTCCACTGCGCCTGAAGTGATCCAAAAATTGCGACAGAAGTGATCCGCAAATGCTCAAACTACGACCAAAGTGAGTGGATTTCAGCTGCGACCAAAGTGATCCAAAAACTGCGACCAAAGTGATCCCCCCGCCGTCGCTGCGCATAGTCAACCCCAAGAAAACGATCTTGTCCTGCGATCTCTGTGAATTTCAGAGGTCGCGGCGCTGGGGTTTGACTGCAATACTTTCGCGTGCTCGGAGGCTGCCGACAAGGTGGACACGGAAGCGTCCGACAAGACCGATGCGCGCAGTGGCGCCGGAAGCTCGGCCGACAAGGCGGGGGGCTCAGTGTGATCAGTGCGCGGAGTGTCCGCCTGTAAGCGGGGCGGCGCTCTGGCGGGTTTGTCTCGGGCGTAGTCCGAGGGTGTAATGCCTACGCTCCCTCGACTTGGGCTGGCTTGACGGGGAGCTCTTTTGCTTGTGCGAGCAGGTGCTCTCGAAGCAGATGGAGCTTCAGCGAGTGGAGCAGGATGTGAAGAAAGTTTTTGGCGAGCTGATGCTTCAGCAACCAGACGATGCATGCCACTTGCAGGAGCTGCCTGCCAGGCTGCAAGAGCTTGCTGAGGCAGATGGGTAGCAAGGAATGGGCCGCGCCGGTTCTCCCAAGACAGTCTTGCCCTTCTGTTGTTTGCCACCATTGCGCTTGAGTTCATAACTCCCCTGTGCTCGCGCCAGCAGGTGCTGTCTGTCCTGGAAGAAGTGAAGCAGGACACAACAAGTCATGTCAAAGCCAGTAGCCCAGCCTGCTGGCTCGCCAAGCAACTACGCGCTAACTCTTGCAGGAGCTTCGTGCCAAGCAGCAGCGGCTCGCAGAGACGGAGCAGCGACCGACAGAAGACTCCGTCAAGACCAGCTCGGCAGACCAGGCGGGGGACTGAGCGTGCGGAGCGCACGCCTTTGCGCAGCGCGGTCCACATATGCGCACTCCATACCCACGCATCTTCGGCCACACTTCCTGACTCCCACGCTTCCACATCCACACTTTCACACTGCCTTGCCTCCACGCTTGCCGACCCGCTCGTGCTCACACGCCCAGACTGCCACGCCTCCACTTCCACATTGTCACACGCCTTTTCCTCCCACTTTTTCGGACTCCTACCAGACTGCCAGCCTCCCACGCTTCCACTTCCAGACTTTCAGAGCTTTTTGCTTCCACACTTCCACACATGCGCGCGCATCCTGCACCGCATGTTTTCTTCCACACCTTCACGCTGCCACACGATCATGCTTCCGCATTTTCTCGCTGCCGCGCTGCCATGCTTCCGCTGCGCCGCACTTCCGCATTGCCACTATATTGCTAGCTGGCGTTCCACTAAGATGGTATGCACTCCTCCGCAACTTTGTCCTACCAGGAGTCGGAAGAAAAAAACTGGAGCATGCAGAAGAGGCTGGGTAGCTCCGGCATTTAGACCAATGTTGTCCCGGTGAGTTGGCGCTTTGAGCTCCAGGATGTGGACGATTACTTCCTGGAGGCCTGGTCGCCTAACACCATCTCGCAAAGCATTCGTTGTTTAACGTTGAGCGCGCAGAGGATGAGATGGCCTGGATAGATTTGCAGGCAGAGGCAAGGCCGGCCATTGCCCCCGAGCCATATATGTTTTCCGGGGAAGGTGTCCACGCGTGCCTGGTGTCATGTCTTCCTCGCTTCGTTGGCTTCCACAAGCCCAGCTCCACGCTGTCCTCCACGCCTCCTGCCTCTGCTTTTCCACCTCCGCACTTCCCCCGCTCCACGCTGGCCCAACAGCGCACTTTCCACTTGTACCCTTCCACTTCCGCAGATGGAGATTGAACACGTGGCTTCAAGATGCGAACCAACAACGCGACGCCTGCGCTCCTTGCGGGGGCGCGCATCTCCCGGGCGCAGGCTCGTGTAGTCTTCCAAGTGCTCATGCACAGCCTGCAGAGCGTAAGTGAACAAGAGTGACAGAGAGTTCAGCAAACGCACCAAGGGCTGACGCGAGGAACTGACGAGGAAACAGACATCTGCCCTTCCCAATTTGTCCGCACGGTGCCTTGTTCAAAAAACCTGATTCCAGCCGACACTCGCGCGGACCGCAGAAAGTTACAGAGCTGCTCTCTCTGTGCCACTTGTCTCTGTGCAGCTTGGCTCTGTGCAGCTCGGCTCTGTGCAACTTGACTCTTACGCGTGCAACTTCGCTCTGTGCAACCTGGCTTTCTGTCGTTTAGTCCAAGGGCCCCGTACGGGAGAACTCTTCGCAATGCTTCCTGGAAGCGCGAAAGTGTGCAGGTGTGGAATTTAGACATGTGAAAGTGAGGCAGTGTCCACGCCGTGAGAGTCTCCATGTGAGCATCCTCGCTGTTTCCTGCCGCGCGCTCGCGGGCGCTCAGGAAGCTTGGCGAGAGTGGCAGGAAGAGAAGGCAGGGCAGTGGAAGCACGGCGTTGGCCACATACTAGATTCTCAGAGCTTCCACCCAGCCTCCGTTGTCGGTTTTGGGCGCAGTGAGGAGCGTGAAGGCAATGAGGAGCTGCAGAGAGAGCAGGCAGGGCAGGATACGCATTACTGTTACTGCAAGCTCTGCTCATGCCATTCGCCTTCATGCTATGAATGTGCTCCTCGGTCAGTAGATTGGTGGCCTTTCACTTAAGACAAGCCTTGGGTGTTGGAAGTACTTCCTTCCAATTCCCCCCCCCCTCTCACCAACGCATGTCTTTTGTTATCTGGCGACCGCTGATCAAGCGTGGAGGATGAGTATGAAGCGCTGCTGGACTGGCACAGCGCAAGGCAGAAACAGGCACGCTTGCGCCCAGCGTCGCTTGCGGGCGCGCAAGTCATGGCGTGCAAAAAAAAACGCACGAATGCCCCGGTTCGTTTCGATTCATGTCGATGCGGACTCAGCGTGCGGAGTGCGCGCCTTTATGCGGGGCGGTGCTCTCGGCTGGGTCATCTCCATGGGTTCGGTCAAGCCATCTGTGCCCTGTCGGAGGCTCTGTGCCCTGACGCGGAAAAGGCCGGATCGAGCCTATTTGTGTAAGTGTTTTCCTACCTTGGTTGGCTTCCAGAAGCACGGGCAGTGATGTTGCTTTGCGTCTGGAGCTGGGGAGGCCGTGGCGCCGAGTGACATGGAAGATGAGCGCGACGTGGAAAACGAGCGCGACGAGGCTGGAACCACTTACGTTCGCTGCAAGCCCCTTTGGCATGGCAGCCTTTTTGCTCACTGCCCGACCAAACACTTGGGTTTAGTTTTTCTGTCCCTTGTAGGCTTGCGCTCCTCCACAGGCTCCAGGAAAGATCGCCCTCTGTTCCATTCCATTCGGCTCATTTCGTTTCGGCCCGCCATCCGGCTCGCTGCGGTTTTCCTCCGCGCTGCCCTGGTCTCCACCACACTTCCTGGACCCAAATGCGTTGCTCCACGCTTTCCAGGTACCCTGCTCGGCGCTTCCCGGGCGCCACGCGCTTCCCAGGCACACTGCTGCGTTGCATGCGCAGCGCTCCGCATTACCCGAGCGCCTTGCGGCATGCTGTGTACTTCCCGAGTACTTTCCTCCACGCTTTCAGGCGCCGCTCGTCCCCGGCGCCCCGCTCCACGCTTTCGCGCTGCAGGTGCGCCGCTCCACGCTTCCCGAGCGCCTCGCTCCACACTTCCCGAGCGCCTTGCTTTTCGCTGCAGCCCCACACACTTCCCCGGCTCCACACTTCCCCACGCCCACGCCACACCTTCCCATCTCCACGCTCTCCCGCCGCCGCGCTTTCCCAACTCCGCGCCTTCCGTCACGCTCACCCACGCTTCCCCGGCTCCGTGCTTCACTATCTCCACGCCCGGCTGTGCGCTTCCCCGGCTCAGCTTGCTAGAAGGCTCCACCTTTCCTACCTCCACGCTTTTTCATCTCCGCGCTTCCCTGGCTCCATGCTTTCCCACGCTTTCCGCTCGCCCGGCTCCGCTTTCCTGCCTCCATCCTTTCCCAACACGCGTCCTATCTCCACGCTCGCCCTGCTCTACGCTTCCCCAGCTCCGCGCTTTCCCACACTCACCCGGCTCCAGCTTCACGCTTCCCCGGCTCCACGCTTTCCTGCATGCTCTCCCCTTCTTCCACACATTCCCATCTCCACACTTCCCCGGCCCCACGCTGGCTCGGCTTCACGCTTCTTCCGCTCCACATTTTGCACTTTTCCTGCATGCTCTCCCCTTCTTCCACACATTCCCATCTCCACACTTCCCTGGCCCCACGCTGGCTCGGCTTCACGCTTCTTCCGCTCTTTGCACTTTTCCTGCATGCTCTCCCCTTCTTCCACACATTCCCATCTCCACACTTCCCTAACCCCACGCTGGCTCGGCTTCACGCTTCTTCCGCTCCACATTTTGCACTTGCGAGGGCTTCCCATCTCCACACTTACCTGACTCCACGCTTTCCCAGCTCCACGCTCGCCCAGCTCCGCGCATCCTCAGCCCCGCACTTCGCCATCTCCACGTCTTCCCAGCTCCACGCTTTCCCCTTTCCATCTCCACGCTTTTCCTGGCACCACGCTTTTCCAGCTCCACGCTTGTCCGGCCCCCGCACTCAGCTCTACGCTTCCCCTGGAAACCATACCCCACTTGGAACTGCCAGACCAGCGAGCGCAGGAAGAAAGCGCGGAGAAGCGGAAAGAGACGAGCGCCAAGGCCGCTGGGCAGCGCGTCGGACAAGTTGGCCGTATTGCGTCCCGTGCCCGGGCTGCCGCCGTGATTTCTTTGTTCGAGCTGTCAGAATGTCGGTGGTCCTGTTTGAGCGCTTCTCTTAACTTTCATGAAGCAAGCTCCTTGGCTGTGGCTGCGCGCCTTTCTGCCAAGGAAGCCAGCAACATCACGTGCTGGGGAGGGGGGAAACAAGTGTGTCGCGTGCTTAGCAAGCGCAGAGCCCGTGCCTTGCAAAAAGACGTCCTGCGTAAGCCGTATGAGCCACGGCCAAAACACGTCTAGACCACTCTAGTAAAGGGGGGTACGCTTCTGCCTACCCCGAAAACGATAACCCTTGGTCAACACGCGGCCCTGCAGTTGCAGCTTAGTTACGGTGGGACCCTTGCGTGGCCGCCGTAAAACGATAAGGCAAGTCCCCACTTTTGAGCCGGAGCTGCCAAAGTAATTTTCGTCAATGCTACACTTGTGCTTAGAAGTAGCGACTTTCGAGCTAGAGTGGCGGAAACAATACTTCGCGCACTGGACTTCTGCTACAAAGTTGCGCTTTCTCGAGGTGGAGCTGCGGAAGTGCACTTCGCGTGCTGGACTTCTGCTACAAAGTTGCGAGTTTCCGAGCTGCTCCGCGGAAGTCTACTTCGCGGATTTATGCCACAATGTCGCGATGCGCGAGCCGGAGCGGCAGAGTGCGTCGCGTAACTAGACTTATACCACAGAGTTACGATTTTTTAGATGGAGCTTCGGAGGTGTACTTCGTGCACTAGACTTATACTACAAGCTTGCGATTTTCGCGCTGGAGCTGGCGATTTCATAGCTGGCTGGACTTGCAGAAGTTCGAAAACACTTCAGTTCCCCCCAAAAACGATGACGTTCCGACAAGTACTAGGGCCAGGTAAAGGGTTTTGTCCGCTCCTCATATAGTTGTTTGCCTCAAAGCAGTGTGGTAACACTATTGGGTTCTTTCGCTGGCAGTTAGCGGGGCGTAGATGGGAGGTTCGCGTCTGGCTGGGATAAGTTCAATCAGCTCAAGCGCGTGTTCTTTAGCGAGGCCACTTTGCGGCCAGATGAAAAAATAAACCTGCTGGAACACCACGTTGGCTGATGAAGAAGCAGCTGTGTTGCGGCCGCGTAGAAGACAAAGCTTGCACGACAGTTGGGAAAGCCTGATACGTGGCAGTGGAGGTCCTGTTCTTAGTCTTACAGAAGGCTGCTGCCCCAAACCAGACGCACAGTTCATGTATCTGGGCTGGCGGAATAGATAAATCGCGGGGCCTTCCAGCCTCGAGGGGCCGGGCTTCTCTGTTGTTGCTCTTCTTACCATTTCCAACTGGGAGGCTTTTCTTGCCATGGGGAGCTTCTTGGGCATTTACACTCGCTGTGGCCGTGCAGGAAACGTGCACCATCATCATTCGAGGATGCGGCCCGTCTGGAGTGGAGGAAATGCAGCACGAGTCAGCAGTGTCTGCGTATTTCCGAGAAGCGCTGGAGGCACGAATCCTGGCCACGCAGTGTCATGAGCACATGTCTGCCTGCAGGCTTGGTGCGACCTTCCGACAGAGCCTAGACTCCTTCACATTCCGGAACCCGCTCCGGATCGGCGGCATTGTAGATGCGGCGGTAACGGCGGACACCCGCGTGGAGGCGCGGCGTGCTGCTCGCTACAAGCCGAGCAGCTAGAGTCCTTGCAAGGAGCACTGCGTTGCAGGGATTGCCCGTGTGTGGGCGGACCAGGAGCTCTGCCGCAGTGCGCTTGGCCTAGGGTTGCTTTGCTTTCGACACTGTTGCCGGAAGTGCCCGAGAAGCTTTGCAGTTGGTCAAGGAATAAAGAAGTCTTGCTGGGATTGACACGAAGTGCAAAGTATGGAATGCGCGTTTCTGCAGGAGGACAAGCCGGAAGAGAACAAGACGTATCAGGCCGGCCCGCTTTTCAAGTTAGTACTTGCTTCCACACTTGCGTAAATTCTTGCTTCCACACTTCCACACTTGATCACGCTTGTGTCCATAGCCGTGCGATCATCGACAGGCTGTTGCGGGCAGTGTGGCGGGTGTGCCCCGGAACGGGTGTGCTTATCATGTGCCAGCATGTGGGAAGTGTGGCCCCGGAACGTGTGCTTATCATGTGCTGTGGGAACGTGTGTGCGTGTATCATGTGCCAGCATGTGGGCAGTGTGGCGGGTGTGCCCCGGAACGGGTGTGCTTATCATGTGCCAGCATGTGGGAAGTGTGGCGGGTGTGTGCCTGGAACGTGTGTGCTTTTCATGTGCCAGCATGTGGGCAGTGTGGCGGGTGTGCCCCGGAACGGGTGTGCTTATCATGTGCCAGCATGTGGGAAGTGTCCTGGAACGTGTGTGCTTATCATGTGCCAGCATGTGGGCAGTGTGGCAGGTGTGGGAAGTGTGGCGGGTGTGTCCTGGAACGTGTGTGCTTATCATGTGCCAGCATGTGGGCAGTGTGGCGGGTGTGCCCCGGAACGGGTGTGCTTATCATGTGCCAGCATGTGGGAAGTGTCCTGGAACGTGTGTGCTTATCATGTGCCAGCATGTGGGAAGTGTCCTGGAACGTGTGTGCTTATCATGTGCCAGCATGTGGGCAGTGTGGCGGGTGCGGGCGTCAACAACACAGCTGCCCACGTACGCTGGTATTCGTGGAGGCCGCGAAGACGGAAGGTCACCATGTTCACTGGGGGGTAACCGGGCTTTTTGACCCAGGGCCACATGGATTGCGAAATCCATTGTTCATGAAACCATGGCTCTCCTGACAACAGCCCATGTCTGACAACAGCCCATGGCTCTTCTTTCTGACAGCCAGAACATGCCACAGGAGCTGCCCGGCGCCGCTGAGGGCAGCCTGGCGACTTGGCGAATCGAAGTCCATGGGGTTCGAAGCCTGGGAATGCACCCAGGGTCTCCTTAAAGGAAACCACCATTTGCTGAAATGAGTTTTTTTGTTGTATTTATTTGTTTGTTTATTTATGTTCAGCACCTGCTGTTTTTTGCCTCATCATCTTGGATACATGCTTTTTCCCCATGAAGCTTCTCCCTTTGGGTTTCAGAGGGTTCTGGGGGTGGGGGGTTCTCCCTCCGGGTTGAGGAGCAGGGGGGGGTCAAAGAGAATCTGTGATTGGACGACTGGGTTTCCAGGAGGTTCTGTTCTCTCCAAGCCCCAAGCAAACAAGGTTCCCCAAAAGAAAAAGGCGCGCCCTAGTTTCGCCTAGACTCCTTTTGGTCGGGCACTAAACAATGTTGGCATACAGAAAAGGGGGGAGGTGAAAAGACATGTTTGATTCATCTGAGTTCCGGGACTCGGACTTGAAGACATTTTTGTTCTTCGCCAAGTTTAGTGGCGAAGAACAAACAGACTTATTTTGGCCCATCTCAGGAAGAGAGTTGGATACCTCCCTCCCCACAGGCAACTGTGCGACCTGGAACATCACTTTCCTCTTGGAGGGCCTGCCATGTTGGGACGGAGGGTAGCCTCCAATGCCATGACTGTGACCCTCAAGGTTGATTTAAAGAGTCAGATGTACATGGGATGACCACTCGCAAAACTTCCTTTTTGTTTCCAAAAAGATATCACCTGCCGACTAAATGGGCAAATTACCCAGCATCATTTTGGGGAGAAGTACCTATCAGCCTCTTCCTTTTCTGAACAAGTGGATGCGGGGTTCCATGAGCGAATGTGCACAGCGAGATTCTGGCCATGTGTCGTCTTTTCGCCCTTTCTGAGATGCCAATGGCACCTCCGATATAATAGTTTGGTGGTCTCTGTTGAGGGACCCCCCAAAATCGTGACTTTCCCCTTGCCACCCAAAACGGGGGCACCCTCAAAGAAAAGACACGCCCAGCGAAGGAGTCCCACTTTGGAAGTCACTCACTGCTCACCAGCGTACATTCGATCACCTTGAGCCACGGTTTTGCAATTTCGCGGGTCCCTTCTGTCCTTTGGGTCTGGACCAATCAGGGCAAGGGCAAGGGTCTTCTTGTACAGCCCCCCTGATAAAGATTGAACCCAAGCCGCCATCAACTAAAAGGAGGCGTTTCCTCTTTGGGGTATCGCCTTGGGGTTTCTTCCGTTTTGTAGGGGAGGAACCATCCTTATGTCATGGGATGCTAAAGTCCCCCTAGCTGACTACTACTTATGAAGGCCTTTTTAGCTCTAGTCAAATTAACTTGGGCAGGGGTAGTTGGCTAGGGGGTAGTTTGAACTATCTCATGACATAAGGCCGCTTCGCTCTAAAGAATGAGCGCGGGTAACTTGTCCCATGTGGGCCGAATATATTCACTCGTTTTGTTAGCGAATTTCCAAACAATGGTCATCCCATGTTGATCGGAGCTTTCGATCAACCATGTTTATTTGCCGGGCCCTTTACATGAGATGAGCATTGGAGAAACCACCAAACAAGACTCCCGTCCAATGACTCTCGCAATCGCTTCCAATGTCTGCAATCGCTCCGTTCCAGCGTGTCTGAAACTATTTGTTGGATGCCCTGCTCTGGCGTTCGTTTCATGTGACATAGCCCTCCACATGATCCTGATAAGAAGCTGTGCATCTGCGTGCCTCAAGGCTCACCAAAATCCTGGAACGTCTCCCTGCTCTTGCTGGTTTTGTTCAATTTCAACGCCCGCACTGGGCGTCTATCTCAGCTTCTGCGCCCCAAAAAGAAACAAAGGTTGCCCATGGTCAAAACTGCTTGGCAGGCCTGCAAACTGCAGCTCTGTTTGCCAAACTTTTCCAACCACCCAAGCAAGTCTGCCAAACCGCAGGCCTGGCGGGGCCCAAGGCAATGATTGCAGATCAACCCTCGTCTGCAGGGGATCGAGTCATTTCGGAGCCACCAGCCGGCCGGCCGAGGAGGTGGAGTTGCTTGTCGAGGCGCTCAGCGACTCCGACGCCAGGAGGGGTCTGAGTTCGAGCAGGAATCGTTTTTTTTTTCTTTCCGCACGCCATCACTGGGCTGGTTCCCTCCTGAAAAAGCAAAGCCATGTTTTGTGAGTACTGTGGATGGTTGCGCAATCTGCGAGTCTCGCACCACGGTAAATGAAGCCATGGTTGAAGCCATTGCTAGTCATCATTCCAGGGGCTTCTTCATCACAGGGCCATGATGCTGAACAGATCCTCGGGCTCCGACTGACAACTGTCCAGTAGCGTGGGGTGGGTCGGTCAAACGAATGCCTTTGCCACGTCCCGGTCAAGGCCCTGCCCAAGTGAGGGGGGGAGTTTTGGGCATTTGGGGCATTCCCATGCGGCTGAGACATTTGAAGCCAAAGAAAGGAACCTTGGCTGGCCGTAGCACCGTGGAAGCAGGTTTCACTTGAAGGTTTAAAAAGAAAGCTGCGGCCATGGGAGGCTTTCTCTTTTGTGCAGAAGTTGGTGTGTACAAGCCCCATGAAAGAATGGGTCAGGATTGAACCACAACAGAACCGCAGGTTTTAGGCCATATTCCATTCACCGATCGGGCAGCCCATTTGGGGTTACACCTTTTTCTTTGACCAGCCCCATTTCAGGGTTCATTGTAGACAGCTTCCCTCCTTTTGGTATTCAAGGGGAAGCCAAGGAAACCACGCATGTTGGGAGTCCATTATCTTATTGGCGGGTTCCCAGCCTTCCCAGTACATGTTTTTGTTATTTTTGCTTTGGTTTAGTGGTTGGGTGTCCATTTCATCCACAAGTTGTTTTCTTTTTTTTTTTTTTGGGGGGGGTCAAAACAACCTACTGTGGATGGACGAACTCCTGCACCACTTTGAAACCATGGTCGAAAAACATGTTTGTTGGTCTTTGCAGGGGACTCAACTCATTCCAGGGCTTCTGAGTTCGGTGGTGCGAGACGCATGGATTTCCGCGACTCCATCCACAGGGGGATCCCCTACTAGAAGGTCTAGCTAGTGGTTTGAGAGAACGCCCACAGGTTTTCGAGAGAACGCCTCGCTCTCGGCTTTGATCTCTCCGATCTGCACAAATCGAAGGATCCAGCGGAAGGCCATGCACGCCTATGCCTACTGGCTCGCGGCGCCCAGCCGTGCGGGTCTCGGCTGTGCCGGGAAACTGGGTGTCCGGGTTTCAGAAAGGCGCGAAGCGGCCGACCCGGGGTTGTTCTGGCTTGCCTGTAAAGTTTTTGCAGGGAAGCCACCCATTTTTTGGGTTGAAAGAAGACACACACGTGGTCTGCTTCTGGAGCGGTTTCGTTCCAGGGCTCATTGAATTTTCCAACCCACCAGGGAGTCGAATTCTAAAACCAATCCACCAATGAAGGGTAAGGTGAAGTCTGGTCAGGGGCATTTGGTGTAGACCGCCACTTTGGAAAAGGTTCCTCAGTTGCTTTTTGGACGCGCCGGACTCCAACGCAGACGAGCGCCCATGTTGAGTCTTGTCCCTGGAGACAAGACTCAATAGGTGTGAATTCTGGTAGGGAAGCCTTTTGGCGGGCATCATTTAGCAACCACTTTTCAGGCGGTTTCAACTCCTGACAATCATAGCCAAATTGGACAGGAAACTGCCTGCAGCAGCAATCTCCCTGGTTGAAAAGCACTTCTTTGGCCAACTCTCAAAAATTATGATTCCCCATTCTTTTCAACCATCCTTCTTTTCAAAGACCCCTGGAAAGAATGGAAATGGAAGGTACCCCTAGAAGAATGAGGGCCTTGAAGCCTCCAAAGGCTCAAATAAGGAGGTCTTCAACAGATCCCAACTCGGCGAGAGCCTCGCTCGCGCCGTGCGCCCGCCCGCCCGGCCTCGCTCGCTCCGAGGGCTGTCCAAGCTGGAGGTGCTAGAGGCGGGAGGTGGGCAGGTGGCTCGTCTTTCTTTGGACCGGGACCCCAAAGTGGGAACTTGGAACCAACCAAAAAGGCTTTCCCTGAAAACCAAATCATGGAGTTCAAACCATTTGAGCCACAATCAAGGCCCAGGGATTGATGAAGGTTAGTAAGGGACGATCCCAACCCTAAAAAGCTGCGGGTATCCGGCTTCTTAATCCTCCACTTGGTTCTGGGTTCACCATTTGTGTACCGGGTTTTGATTGCGACTCAAGTGGGAGATTTCGGCGTTCCTGTTGTTTTCCTCTTGGAACCAACCAAAAAGGCTTTCCCTAAAAGCAAAGTCAGACTCAAACAATTGGGGGAGGGGTGGGGGCCGGGTTGTGAAAAAGATGGGCGACCTGTTTCGGCGGATGTTGATTTGAACGGGGGGTGGGGGGTTTCCGTTTGACGAAAAATCCTTCCCCCCCCCCAAAGGTTTGTGAATCCATGGATACCAGAATCTTGAAATCTCAGTTGCAACCAAAGCGAATCGACCTGATCTGACTTTTGGTTGACCAATTTCGGGTTCCCATTTTTAGTCATGGCCCCAAATGGTGATGTTTTTTTTCTGGCTCCCATCCAGGACTGCGAAATGGCGCGGGATAGGGAACCAATGCTTTGAAAGGCAACCCCCCCCCCCGCCGACCATTTGGAGGATTGGGCACGCGGGGCTATTGAATGGTACCCTTTTGCTTTGGGTAAAAGCAAAGTCAAAAGGCAATCCGCCATTTTTTGGTAGAAACAGAACCATCCGCCAGTAGCCCCCCCAACTGCTTTCTCAGATGTCCAAAATCCCAAGTGAGCTGCCTCCTTTGGAAGGGCGGGGGGGAGATAATATTTCGTCGCGCCATTTTGGTGGTTATGCCCCATGTTAAAATCAGAGCGACGCAAAGCTCGACCTGCGTGACTTTGGTTTCTACCCAAGCACAGATGTTCGAAGGCTTCGCTCCTCCCATTAATCCAAGTCAGGTGTTCAAACCATTTGAGCCACAATTGAAACCCGGGTAGATGAAAGTTGGTAAGGGACAAACCCAACCATAAATAACTGTGGCCGCCTTCTTAATTCTTTACATGGTTCTGGGGCAACCATTGTACTACTGGGTTTTGATTGTGACTCGTCTGACCCGACCAGCTTCCCTGATTGTTTGAGAAGTTGGTTTTGCTAAGTTATTTGCAGCCTCCGAATTGGAGCAGACCTCTTGACTTGACTTCTGCCGCTGCTATATTCAGTAGTTGGATGTGACCCAACTCGTGTGGATCCCTTCAGAAGCAAGTTTGATGTCCGCTACCTTAACTCTAGCGCTAGTGTTATCCTCTGATCCGCAGTGGAAACCGACCTGGCCTTTACAAGCCAGCCAATGCTTGCAACATGTCAGGAAGGCAATTAGTGTGATTACCTGTCATACGCTTCTCTCTCCAAGAGCAGGGCGGTCTGGCACTGCATGACATGCTTCACACAAAGGTCCACAGCCGCAAAGCACAGCAGGTCGTGTGTCAAAACTGGGCATCCTGCTTAGTCCGGTTTAGGAGCTTGACATGAAACCAGCCATGTAAATCACAAAACCTGGTCTCAAAGGTTTTGGTTTTGCTTTCTTAGTGGTTCTTGGCTGCCGTGGATCCCAGTTGCCAGAAGATAGGCACCCCCGGCCATTTTGCTTTATCCTGGTTTTGCTGGGTTCCCTACTAGGCCACAAAATGACCAAAATCGAATGGGTTCCCTCAAGGAGCCTACAGACTTTTTTCCCCCAAGTTGGTTGGTTTTCACAGGGAGGCCAAAAGTTGAACACCTACCAAGTCTTTGCTGGGCCCAACCTTAAAGAAGAAGACACCCCAGAGGGCTTCCCGGCCTCACTGCCACGAACGACCAAGGTAAAAATCGATTCCCTCCCTAAACGCCCACAGAGACCTGCATGGGCAAAACCCTTTGACTCACGAAGCACTGCGTGAGGGCTCTGTGAAGTCCGCTGTCTGGTCGCAATACTTCCCGGTGAAGCAGGAGGAGGCGCGTGGACAGTTGGATGGGCGTAGGTGTTTTGTGGTGCGGTCTTTCCTGTGTCTCATTTTTGGAGTCGGACAATAATGGTTTTTTTGTCTTCCGTTTACCACAAGCAAATTGCCCACAAAAAGAAGACAGCCCTGTTTGTGTGTTGAAGATGAGAGATTGCGGTTTTGGGTAAAAGGTTCTTGGTGTCAGGTCCTTTCTTGGCCCTTTTTGCGGATGGAAGCCGATGCCTCCTGCCGTCCAAAGTCCTTGCAAAGTCTAGCACTCCGGAAGATCGGAGCCGCATTGAATGCAGGGAGACAAAGAGGTTATTCCAAATGTGGGTCGGTCTTTTTTCCAGAGTAGTCCCCTTTTTTTGGGGGTCCACCAAAAGACGAGCCAGCCATGTAATTACTTGCAAGCAAGAAGGGCAAATCAGAGCAAGAATCCCCCCTCCCCCCTCCCCCACCTTCCAAACCCCCCAAAACCCCCCAAAACCCCCTCCCCTACCCTCCGCTCCGGCCTTGGGAGGTGCACCATCGGCACGGACAAGTGCTGGTGCTCTCGCGGCCTCAGCTGGACACCTTGGAGGAGAAGACCCTAGGCGCGTCGCGCGCAACGATCCGATCGACCCATGGGCGACCAGAGGCTTGGGCTCCAAAAGTTTTTTCTCACTCCCTGAGTTCCGGGACTCGGATTTTCTTTGGCGCATTTTGCCAAGGGATGTTAGGACCTCGACTTTTTGCCAACTAATGAGTTTTCCATTAAACCACAAAAATTAAACTTTTAGCAGAAGAGCAGAAAGCTACCGAGTTTTGGTGGCAAATCAACAATTCCTGTTTGTTTTTTTGTTGCCAATCCACTCAGGAAGTGAGATCTTGATTGCTCTCGGGTAAAGGAGCTTTATACTTTTAAACATGTTGGTGGAAATTATTTTCCGAATGGGACCCAGACGAAAGTGAACCACTTTTTGGCGGAGGGGTCGTTGCAGCAACCAAACTAGTGGTCAAAGGACCGGTTCGGTGCCTTTACCTGGGGTTTTGCCAGGGATGGTCATGGTGGTAAGGATGCTTAACCAGTATAAATGGTTCCTATTCAGGGAACCATGACCATAAACCATACGAGGATTTTGGCCATGGATCATACGTCCTTGGAAGTTTTTAGGATTAGTCTCCTTTTGGTGGGGTGATGCTTGGAGGGGTTATATCGGAACTCCTGTTGGTTTGTGTTGTTTTGTGCATTGTGTTTGGTGAAGGTGAGGGGCAGTGAAGGGGAAGAGGAAGGTGAGAGGCGTGAGGTGGCAAAGGCGAGGGTCAGGGTGAGGGTCAGGTTGAGGGGTGTGTTCGTGTATTTCTTGCAAGACTTGGACCTGATCAGCCGCATGTCAGAGTCGAAGTATCATGCGGCAAGGCTCACCGATTCGACCCCAGCTACATGATGTATGGCCGTGTTCGTAGCTGGTCGGGCTTGCGAGTGCAGAATTCTCTTTCTTGGAGCCGTCGATCAGAGGCGTAGTTAGTTTGGATGAGGTGGGCTGAAGATGGTGGCGTTTGGCTGGGGTTTCCAAGATGACCGTTGGGAACAAGCGTACTCATGCAAATAGACTACGATACTTGACTTGCTGCAAGACGGTTGCAATACGCAAAGCCTCCTTTCTTGCATTTTCAGGGAGGGGCATTGGCTTACATGGACACGAAACGGGACGTTTTGAAGGGGCAGCAAACCTGGAATCTACCGCGAACCCCTGGCCAGGGCTATTTGAGGCCTAGGCCCCAAGCACAACAAGAACATACCTGGATCGCCAGCTGCTTTTTCGCCATGAGCTTGACACCAAAAACCAGCAGTGACTGAAAAAAGCGATCGCAACTTGGCTATCTCTTTTTAAATGAAGTCCATCAACCCGGCTGAAGCCCGGGGGAGACCAGGCCTTTTTCACATTGACCTACATGCTCGAGGCCCAATGGGTGTGGTTTGTTCTTCATTGCTCCAAAAGGTCTGGAGGACCAATTTATATTTGCGGCCGACTGTGTGACTAATCCTTCTCCGGATCGGGGGGGTTTTCGCAGGAAACGCTTGGTTTGGCTCGTGCGCCCGAAAAAAGGGTTCCAACATGCTGCGGAGAAAGGCCTAGCTCCCAATTCCGTGTGCTCCGTTTTTTGGGGGATGTTTTTTTGTTGTTTTTTTGGTTTCCATCCATAGCCAAAGCAAAGATTGAAAGTTCCCCCAAAAACGACACATGCACCCAAAGGAAGTTCACCGATTGAATTCTGGGACGCGATTTGCGAAGGGCACTCATTTGGCCCTTGGTCCCCTGGAACAAAGACATCTATCTCCAGTAGTGATCGATTGTCTTTCAACCCTACCAGGGCAAAATAAAACTTCGTCAGCAAATGGAAGCAACCTGTCCGCTAACCTGGACCAGAGACTTGGTCCCAGTTAAAGGGACACAGTCCAAACCAGGACCCCGAAACGTGGACGAACCCCGCTCCTTCGCCGCGCGCGGCCCCACGAAAAAGCGCGAAAAACCACGGCGCAGGGCCGCTCGTGAAGCTGCAGGAAGGCGGATTCGACGCGTTTCTCGCCTGTGTGTGTTTTTGATGTTTTGGGGGTGGGGGTGCAGGGGGTTGGGGTACAGGGGGGTGGGGGGTGCAGGGGGTTGGGAAGGTGCGGGGTGGGTGGGTGTACAGGGGTTCTGTTCTACTCACCTCTGAGTTCCAGACGGTAAATACTTTTGTGGAAAGACCATCTGAGTGGCAGACGTTAGTAGTGGAGCCCAAAGCAAGGTTGTTGCAGTCGGAGTGTGGTAACACACCCTGTTCCAGGGCCAACTGCTTACTGGACGCGCAACGTGCCTCAATCTTGTAGGAGGGTGTTTGCATAATTGGTTAGACACATGTATCAAAGGCTGATTGTATAGGTTTCTGTATATGAGCCAATGGCCGACTCTGTCTGACAGCATTTGTTTTGTTCATCGAACTAATCTCCATTGTGCCCCTTTTGCACGGGTGCTGAGTTCTTTGCGAAGGTCACCCGCAGGTCACTGTGGTTGATTCCCTTCCTGGTGTGTCTTTCTTTCTGAGGCTACCCGGATAAGGGGCTGTGACAAAAGGGAAAGCAATACATTGCAGGGTTTCCCCATTCTAAGCACACTCTTGTTGAAAGTGAACCAGCCACATCCAACCACCAATTGCGGTCAAGTTCAAGGCTTTCGTTGTCCACATACTTTGCGAAGTATCAGGGAATCAAGAGCAACTGATGGGGTCCAGAATGGGAAGACCACGTCACATTTCTGCTCACGTTTTGGTGAGTTTTCCTCCCACTGAGTCACCCCAGTTCATGAGTCACCCCAGTTCAAGCGGCACCCTCTGCCCCTTTTTGATTTCCCCAAGATGGATCTCGACCCAGAATCTCAGATCCGACCCGAAAGCACCATCTCCTGCCCTTTTTTCTGCCACTTGCAGCAAATGGACGTGGGGGTTGATCAATATTCCGTTCGGCCCCAAGTTTTGACCATGGGTAGCTTTTCCCATTCAGTGGGTGATTTTGCAATCTTTTTGGGTGGTCTTCCCCAATGCCCCATGTTCATGGGACCTTTCAACCTCCAGGTCAAGACGTCAACGAATAACCACTTCACAGGTGATACCTCCCACATGGGAAAAGTTGCCCTTGGTCATTTGGAGAGGATTGAAGTCAAGCCCCCAAGAGGACGATGATATTTCCCACATGGGGAAAAGTTACCTTTGGTCATTTCATGGCAGAACTTACCCCCCAAATGGGAAAAGGTTGCCCCCAAATGGACGTCAGTCGATTCATGCGGCCAGGTGAGAAGGGCTCCGTGCCTTTGAACTTTTTGCACATCGTGGTGGGCCGGGACTCCTTCCCCTCCCTCACGGACTCCGCTCGAATTGCTCGGGTTGGATCGATTCGGATCGATTTGGAGGTGGACGGTGCCCAGCTGGGCTCATAGGTGTCCTTTTTGTTTTTGATAGAAAAATAGATGGCCCTGGTTCACCTGGTGGTTTAATCATCTACCAGGGCCATCTATTTACCCTAAAAGGACACCTATGCCTGGGTTGGTTTGGGCAATCTTTTTTTTTTGGAGGAGAAAGCAAGACCGGCCCTTGACATACTCTGCGTGGTGGAGAAATCCGCTTCTCGCGACACCTAAGATACACCATGCTTGACACCACAACGTTTGTTGGTATTTGCGTTGGGGAGTCGAATCAGAAGCCCGGGTTTCTGAACGGCGGTGCGAAACGGATTTCGTCCATCCACAGCGGTTCCGATCCCTTCGAGACCCGAATGTTCGATCCGCGGCAAGCTAGGTGATGCGTGAAGGGAAGTTCCGGCATGGCTCAGATGGACACACCAACTCCAAGAACCCAGAATTCCTAGTGTCCTTGTATTCCAGCATATCACCTTTTGGCTCTTGGCCATTCTAAGGTGAACATCCTTTAGGGGTGATGTTCGAGACAAGGAGTGTTGTGTTCCACAAAACCAAGCAATGCCTTGCCCTGCTCACAGTCTCGGTCTCAGCGGGTTGCTGAGCGGTGCTTTGTCCTGCTCGCCGTCTTAGCTTTTGCAAGGTCGTGCTTTTGGGGGTTGGGCGGTTGTTTCTGAGTCCTGTTGGAGTTATGAGGGGTTATGCTTTGGTTATTCCTGGTTCCTCGTCCAATAGCTTTTGGCGGTTAGGCGGTTATTTCCGGGTGGGCAGAGTCCACAAACCTTGCCCTGCGCGCCTGTCGAGGATCGGAGCTTGTTCTTCAACAGCGACGAGGAGCTCAAGAAGGCGCTCTACGGAGGTTTCGGCTGGAACGAAAAAAAGGAGGCTCATAAAATAAATCGTCACTTCCAGGTGGATTTTGCGAGTATTAAATGAATGACTTGCCTGAACAGCTTGGCCTCAAAGTCTTAGCTTGGCTTCGTTTTAGCTCGGGGCCAAGCGGCTTGGGCTTTCTGGCCAGTCAGCTCAGGATCAGTGGAATGGAGGGACTCAGGAACGCCTGTGCACGGTTTGGCCGTTTCTCTTCGCGCACTTTCGTTCAGACACCCGGTTGTTGCTGTTGGATTCTCCAACGCAAATACCAAACAAGTGGTGTGACCTTTCCTTCCCGTGGTTTCTCTTAGGCGCGAGACTCGCGGAGGTCGCGTCACGGAAGGGCGGCCTCTCCTCGTGCCAAGTCTCCGGTTTTTCAGCACCCTGCCCAAGCCCCGGGGCCCCGAACCCTGAGAAAAAAACGGGAAAAAGAGAAAAATGAAAAGGCGCGGCCATGGAAGCTGAAGATGTCCCAGACTTTTCTTTCTTTTTTTTGCCCCCGGGGTGAAAAAAAAAGAGGGTTCGCCAAGCATGTGGGGTGTGTGTGTGTGTGTGATCCGTGTCCCTTTTAAAGCAATCCCCCCCCCCCCCAAATGGGGCTACCTGAAGCCGGACGTGGACCGCACAAATGCCTTTTTTCCCTGGCACCTTTTGCCTGAAAACCGAGGCAACGGACTGTTGTCAAAAAGACTTGGTGGCTCCCAGCCATCCAGTTCCTTAGCGTTTTAGCGTTTCAGTGTTTAGTGGTAGTGTCCGAATTTAAACTACTCAGAGTTCGTCAAACTTTTACCCGGCGCAGAGCAGAAGACCCGCGATGCTTCAGGTGCTGAAGCAGTGCCAGGACCTCTTCTCCCGGAAGGCGGAGCTTTTGAAGTCGGCCCGGCGCTCAGAGGGCCTGAGCCACTGGTCCGAGAGAGCGAGAGCAGGGGCGCGGAATCTGTGTGGTCAGGCCTCTCCGAACGTGAGTTGGAGTTGGTGTTTGTTTAATTTAGCCTCGTGTTTTGTTTTTCTTTTTCCGGTGGAGGGGGGGGGGAAGGTTTGCCCCTCGTAAATTGAGTGGCGCTGTGTTGTTATGCTCATGTTTTTTGGGAAGGGGCGGGTGGGTGGATTCCTTGAGGACCCCTCCAGCCTCCCAAGATCAGAAGCATTTTTTCTGTATTTGTTGGGCAGGGAGAGAGGGAGGGAGGGAGGGAGGGAGGGAGGGAGGGAGGGAGGGAGGGAGGGAGGGAGGGAGGGAGGGAGGGAGGGAGGGAGAAGGGGGTTCTCTGACTTTGAGAACCTCAGGGTCAAAGTGACATATGGGGGTTGATCAAACGGTGGGATGACCATTGCAGGAAACCACCAAAAAGCTGACATGCCCCACATGGGAAAGAGGGAAACCGCCAGGAACATTGATCGAGACTTTCAGGAAAGCATCGACGTTTGTTGCGTTGGGAGCCACCGAAAGTTGCTCTCGACTGTTGATTTGGGGAGATCGAGCGAGCCCTGGTTTTCTTCTGCAAGGGGACACATCACCGGTTTGAAGAAGAAGCGGCCACCATGTTTTCCCCCTTCTCGGTGGAAATCATGAACACCTTTACAGCGGTGTTTTGTTTGCTTTGGCGATACAGTCAAGGCCGGGCACTTTTCCGACACCAGCGAAAGGACTTTCCAAAGGCCTTTGGTGGTGTCGCTAAACCAGAAGGCTAATAGACTACAGGCTGTTGGTCATAATAGGTACCAAAATGGAACCCTGGTAAATGTCATTTTGACCCATCTCGATGTCGCTTCCCTCATATAATATTCGCTTCCAACCTTCCGGAAAAAAAAACAACTTCCTTTCTTATAATAACTTTCCCCTGTTGGTTTAAGGGGAATCTATCACTACTGGAAACATGTCTATTTTTCCCAGAAGTCTGAAGCAAATGGAGACAATGGAAGGGACGACGCACCTGGCCGTGGGGGCCAAGCACCCAGCGCCCCAACCGCTTGCGAGGCCGGCGTGGGGGAGATCTGCGTGGCGCGGGAGCCCGGGAAAAAGAAAAATCCGAACCCGGCGGAGGGCAATTTTGGCGCGTGAGCGTCGGGAAAAAGGTCAGTGGGCCTTTCAACTCACCCAGAATGGACCCCCCAAACAAAAACGGCTTTGAGACCTTTGCAGTTGCTTCTCCCTTCCTGTATTTTGTTTCCGGTCTTAATTCCTGAGGAATTTGCCTGGATTTTGACAATTTCAGCCATTCTCACCTTGGCTTCGCAGTTATCAACCTCACAGAATATGAAGGTTCCGGGTTTCGGAGAGCCTTCTTTCAGCTTGGTGAATCGCAATTCGCCTTGGTTTTTGTTGAACGTTGTTTGGCGTTTTTGTGTCACGGCCAGGCTCCGACATGCGGACAATGAAAAGAGGGAAAATAGTATTGTTTTGGCGTTTTTTGTGCTTGCTTGCGTTTGGTCCTGTTTTTCTTTGAGAGAGGCTGCAAAGGGATGTGGTTGCGTTTCTTCCTATAGGTCCGGTTTTTCTGAGGGTGGCTGGCTGGCTGGCTGGCTGGCTGGCTGGCTGGCTGGCTGGCTGGCTGGCTGGTTGGTTGGTTGGTTGGTTGGTTGGTTGGTTGGTTGGTTGGTTGGTTGGTGGGTTCAGTTGGCTTGGCTTGGGCTTGGGTTGGCTTGGCTTGGCTTTGAGCTTGGGCTTGGCTTGGTTTGCCCGGGTTGGGTTGTTTGGTTTGTTGGTTTGTTAATTGGCTTATTGGTTTGTGGGTTGGTTGGTTGGTTTGTTGGTTCGTTGGTGTTGGTTTATTCGTTGGTTCATTCGTTTGTTCGTTCTTTCGTGCGTTCAGTCGTTGGGTCGTTGGGATGCGCGCGTCTTAGGTGCCTCATTTAGTGAGGCACTTTCGAAGTACGTGCGTGTTTCCTTTGCTTTCTCTCTTTCAAATCGCTCAAAGCAGGCTACTCAAAAACACCCATACGGTCCCTTTGGGGTGATGCTTAAAGTTATATATATACAGGGAATCCTGAACATTTAGGGGCAAGTGGGTGTCGCTACTGAAGGGTACCGCTTTTATGTGGGTGAAAGGGGAATCCGAGGGAAGTCATGAGCACCCAAGCTCTACACATCTAAACTGGAAAACCACTAAAATCGAGAAGACACACTTTTCTTGAAAAGAACGATGGTCGAACAGAAGGGGAATCGACGCCTACAACACTCCTGATTAATTTGGAACCCCAAAAGCCATTGCTTAAAAAGCGCGCCTCTTGGGGGCCCGCTTGCAGGGTCCAAGCCCCACCCCCGAAACTCTTACGGTGTCCTTCACACAAGGCCTCAAGGTAGAGAGGGCGGCTTGGATAATGCGCGCCTGTCTTTTTCTGAGGGTGCTTTTTGGTGCGTGTTTGTTCGTGTTAGGGCAACCCAAAAAGGAGCGCAGCCCTTTTGTTGCGTGGGCTTTAACTAAGGAAACTGAAAGGAAACAACTCACTTTGAGCGAGCCCTTCCGACAAATGGCTGTGGGTCAAAACCAATGGGATCCCATTTTGTGGTACGTGAATTCCATTCCCCATTTTAGGACCTATTTTAGTGGTTGGATTGGGTTCTGTTCACTGGGGGATAACCGATTTGGAGTTTGACCCATGGCCAAAAATCGCACGGAAACCAAAAAGGAACGCACACACGTGCTTTTTCAACGGGAAACCCAAAGGAACCAACTCACTTTGAGCGAGCCCTTCCGACAAATGGCCGTGGGTCAAAATCCAAATCGTACCCCAGTGAACATCCCAATCAAACCACTAAAATAGGTCCTAAAATGGGTGGTGAATTCGCCTACCAACCAAAATGGGATCCCAATTTGACAATCACAGCCATTTCTATTTCAGGACACACTCAAAGTAGCGCCTTTGGCAAATTAAGTGCCAGGTTGAATAGGCTCATTCCCACGGAAGTGCGAGCTGAGCTCGGGCCATTCCCAAAATAGCACGGAGGGTGCCAAGCCAGGCGCTGCCGCAGCCCCCGCGCCTGCCGCGCTTCGCCAAGTTCCTGCTGGACCCCACCAGCGAGGCACGTCCCGACGCGCGTCGAATTCGTCGAATTCGTCGATTGGGGCGCGCGGATTCGTCGAGGGCGCTGGGTGGTGTGGGGGTGCGGGGGGAGGAGGGAGAGGAGGGGAGGAGGTCGGTTTTTTTGGAGTTGGTCGGTTTCTTTGCTGGAGTGGTAAAGGGAAACCAACAAGCAAGCCGTTAAGCCATTTTGGGGGGGTTCCAAGTCCTACTGTAGGATAAATCCAAATGGGGGAACTCCTTGAATGGTTGGTGTCCTGTGGTTTTCTTTGGATGAAGCCCAAGGGGTGACGCTCCTGATTTGCAACGACAATCCGCTACGATTTGAGCCACAACCATTTGCGAGAATGGAATGTACGCTTAGTTTGTGCCGTTGATCTCGGCAGGTCATAGTCTGGACAAATTCTATGAAGGTCTACTAGGGGTCTTCCTTCCGGTCTGTGAACATAAGTCAACGCCTCCAAACTGCAAAAAGGATCATTTCCAAAGCGGTCCCGAGTCTTGCCGCGAACTTGGTGCTAGAAGCTGACAAGGGCCTTTCAACCAGAAAAAGAAGCGCTTGGAGTTTGTTTCATTGATCCTCAAGCAGCACTTTTTAGCAAGGGCCCAACAACACCGATTCTACCCACTTCACCTTGTTGCTGTCCTTCTCAGGTCAGTGGTGCGACCCGAATATCGATGGGCTTTTTGTCTGCCTCGGCGGGCTTATTGCGTGCCCTCTTGGGCTGATGCAATCTTCCTTGGGGTGAGGGCCTTGGTTTCAAAGGCTTCGGCGCAAGGAGTGGTCAGAGAACGAGCTGAGCCGCGACATGTGGCCCTCCTTCCCTGGCATGTTGGAGCTGCCCGGCATCCCAGAAAGAGCCAGGTGACAGGCATCCCAGATCCCCTCCAAACAAATGGGGGTTTAAACCGAAATCAACAGGAAAAGGGCATTGTTTGTGGGGGGTCCCCCCATTCTTCTGACACATATACCCGAATGGTGATCTGGTTTTACCTGGTTCTCGTCCCTTGAAATCTGCAGCAGGGTGGTTTGGATAGCAAGTAGGTTGTGGCCATGGTTGCAACTGGGGGGACTGGGTCCCTTATAACCATTAGAACCTTCTTGCTACGTGGCGCTAGCGGTGGTAATCCAGTCTGTCTTGGACGGTTCCGATGTTCAAAGTCCTGTGTTCAGCTTGCTTTAGTGATTGGGTTTCCACTTAACCCACTAGTTAAACTTTTAGCACGGATTTGAGAACAGCCCCAGAACATCTATTTCCTGAAGCGAGCGCCGTTATTTGGCAAAACTATAGAGGAATCCTTGGACAAAAATCGCGTGAGCGAATGCGGCGATGGATTTTTGCGCTTGCCATGGCTGTGCCTCAAATTCGAAGTAACACCCCTTTTGGCGGGTGTGGGTTTGTCTCAAGATAGAGAAGAACCCTCGGTTTTCCTTTTGGTTTGTGTGTAAAGCCACCAAACATTGGGCCATTGACTTCCAAAACTTTCTCCCCACGTACAGGATAGAGGTGGTGCGGAGTGGGGCTTCAGGAGAAGCTGGCACTTGACGCTGGAGGGCACAGGATGTAAACCATTTTTCTTCAAACAATACACTGTTTAAGGATTCCTCTTCTAGTTCCTAGATAGCTGAAAGCTATGGGGTTCGAACTTCAAAAGAGGGGAAAGTGATTTGCGACATTGACGGCTGGGTGCTAGGGGGGATGCAGATTTGGGTGCTGTCGCGTGTGCTGTTTTGGTGTGCTGGTGACGGTGCAGGCGCATGTTTGCGACATTGACGGCAGGGTGCTACAGGTATGCGATGTCAGGGTCCTGGTGCCGGTGCTGTTTCGGGTTGCTGCTTGTGGTGCTGTTTGAGGTGCTAGCAACAGTGCGAGCGCATATTTGTGAGATTGGTGCTTGCGAGCATGCAGTTTGGGGTGCTGGTCCAGGGTTGTTCGAGGTGGTGACGGTGCGGGCGATTTTTTGCGAGATTGCCGCCCGGGTATGCAGTTTGGCAGGTGCTGTTTTGGGTGATGCTGCTTGAGATTGATGGCAGGGTGTTGTTCGGGGTGCTGGAGGTGCTGGTGACGACGCGGGCGCTTTTTTGCAAGAGTGCTAAGGGGCATGCAGTTTGGGGTGCTGGTGCAGTTGTTCGCTATGGGGTCGGTGCAGGTGTATTTTTTAGATATTTGTTTACCAACGCAGGCTCGCAGCTGTAGACTTGACACAGGGTCAATAAAGCTCGACTCGCAAACCCTTGGCTGCTGCTCTCGCCGTCGAAGTTTTGGCGCAGACCATGAGCGACAACACAGCGTTCGCCTTGGACAGCTGAAGGACCTGGGCTCGCAGCCGAGGCCGAGAAGACAGGTTCAGCCATGCGCACCTGGTACGAAGCGCAACGCGTCCACGTTCTACGCCTCCAACACAGCTGCGAGGGCCATTCTTGTTGGGCCGGGCAGGACTGGCCGCACAGAGTGGCAGCGTGTGCAACAGCCGCCTCACATGGGCGACCCACTCGCCGGAGGATTTTGAAGCAAAAGTTGCCCTTGAAGCCCTGGCGGCAAGCTGAACCAAAGCGGCTGGCGCAAGCCCAAGGAGATGGCAGCCAGATTGTATGCTGGGCTGGCAGCAACTGGAGAGAGCGCGTCGAAGCAGAGGAGAGCGCGCTCACAGTCAGCGTGCCGGCGGAAGAGCCACTCCATCCGGTTCCTTCACTCACGGTTCTCGAGGACCTGGCGCGAGTACGAGCAGACGTCGCAGGAGAGGCGCCCACTGTGATTTAAGGCAAGCTTCAACAAGGAAGAGGAGTGCAACTGCGTCCTGACTTGTGGCTGGGGCACGTCGTGATGTTCGGGTATCAGGGCCTTGCCCAGGCGTTACATGGCAACGCAAGGTCCCAGTTTTGCAGCTGGCCGGCGCAGCAGAAACAGGACGCTTTGGGTCGCGAGTGCGCTTTGATGCGCCGCTGAGACCATTTTGTCCCGTTTTGGGACAGCCAACTTTGGCCAGCAGAGTCCTTTGCTTTGGTTAGCTCTGGAGCTGTACCCCCCTGGGGTTGAAGCGACATTCTAAGCAAGAGAGCGGCAGCGGGGGGGGTGCATAGTTTTGCGTGTTTTTTTGGTGTACATTTTCTTGTATCTGTAGCGATAGCCTAGAGTGAAAGTGAGCAGATGCAATGGATAGAGGAGAAGCAATGCACTATTATGACAAACAAGTTGCGCTTTCTTGTATTTGTAGTGAGAACGAAGAGTGACAGGGAAGAGATGCAGTGTTCAGGACTGGAACGCGCTGTTTTGAAACAAAGCCGCCGTAGAGTCATAACTACTTGTTTTCTGCACTTTTCGTCAAAGAGCAAGAAAGCACGAGAAAGCCAGAAGAACCCCCCCAAAAAGAAAACAACAGGCTGCGTTGACCACGGCAGACGAGATCATATGACATTGCCGCAGGCTATCAAAGCCACTGATCATTTTGTCCTTCGAAAAATGCCCGGCCATGTCCATGTGGGGCCTCTGACCGTGGGTGCAATGACAGCCGCAACTTTGACGTTGAAAGAGCTTCATTGCCTCTCTAACACATTGTCTCGTATTTAGATGCTATCATAATTTCTATCTCTTAGTCATCTCGATTTCTTTAAACTGTGCAAGGCTTTCAAAGCTTCTCCGTCCATCAAGCGCTGCGCAAGCGAACCAAGGAAGCTATTGTAAGCACATAGTGGCTGCTGGAAAGAGATTGTTGGACAGACGGCATTGCTTTTTGCTTTTTGGTTCTCTCGAGTTTTTTCTCATCATTTCATGAAAAGCACAGACAACCTAAAACACATACCCCAACAGATTGGTGTGCTAAAACCCCCCATGTGCCTTTCTGTAAAGCAATAGGGGTTCATACAACCATCATTGTGAGCCTAAGGATTGTCATCATCCAAATTGGGTCGATCTTCCTTTTAACAGGTTGAGGGAAACGGCGCCCCTCGATGCCGTGGGTTCTTTTGCCGCCTGAGGGGCACCTTGCAGCGGCTCTACACGCTGCAGCGAATCCACAAGGAGGCGGATGAGTCGGCGTGTGGAGGGGGGTGTGGCAGTGCCCCACCAGCTCAACCGGCCCCCCCCCCCCCAGCAAAAAGTGTCCTTCCGAGACCCGTTCTAAGATAGTTCAGCTAGAAAACAACTCAGAAGAGACCTCCTCCACTGGTTTGAGCTCGCGCGCGGCCTCTGGTGCTGGCTTCTGGTATCAGGCGCGCCCTGAGTTCAAGGATGTGAACCAACCCCAAAAAGGGCACCAGCAAAAAAGACACCCAACCAAACAGACATCATGTAGAAATGCACCAGCAAGCAGCATAATTTCCCGGTGGAATCAGAGGATCCTTTACAAGTACTTTTTGAAAAAACTGAGAGCAGGTCGCTGCTTTAAAGAATTTGTCATATGATTAATTTGTGGTGGTTGGGGGGTTAAACCAAAGAGAAACCAAAGCGAAGACAAGAATTCTGCATTTCCCTATTTTGACACACCCAACTCCAACTGGACGAACAGTGAATGGAATGAAAAGGGTAGGGTCCACCCAGGGTGCTCCTCATGAGAATTCACAGCCGTACGGGGGGTGGAGGACAAGATGCCCCTTCCTGCGTTGGCCGGCCATGTTTGCCTACCTTTGTATGGACGAGCGCCGGGCTTTCTAGACGATTGAAACATTCGAACATACAATGTCAGCTGGGGGCGCAATGAATATTGACTATGCCTTGGCACCGTGTCGGCTGGCAACCATCCGACGAGCTGGTCACGTTTTCAGATTCTTTCCAAGGCCCCCAAATCCAATTTGAAACATGTAGCAGGATATGACCATGACGGTCACTTAGATCAGTTTAGATGCGGTTTTTGTGGATGTCTGTTCTGTTCTTGTTTGTCCTTTTTGGTAGTCGTTTAGTACTCTTTTAGTACTCTAGAGGGGTGGATCCGCAAATTTGCCACATCGAATCCGTTTTCTAGAAGATTGTTCAATGCAAAAGGAGAGTGGGGTGTCCTTTCCGCATCGCTCCCCTTGTACAGGTCCGGCCCTCGTCCCACATCTTCCTGGGCACTCAGCCCATGGGGGGCAAGGCGCGCGCGGGCGCCGCTCCTGAAACGCTTTTCCGCAAAATCTGCGTGTTCTTTGGCGTGCAAAGATGTGTTTTGTTGAAGAAAAAGAGGAAGGTCAGCCTTGCCTTGAACCCGTATTTGGTCCTTGCTTGGGGATCCAATTCGTATAGGCTTTCCGACCATGCGGGCGTCTTTTTTTAGGCCCCTCCCCCCTTGAAAAAGGCGGTTGTTTCCCGTTTGTTCCCGAATTGGCTGGCCATAGAATTGGCGTGTTGGATCTACCAGCTTCGGAGTTGGTAGCTCACTCCTTCTGCCAAGTGAACTCCCCATTGCAGTGGGCCTTTTGCAAGCATGATACTCACGCACGCAGGTTCAATCTCGACAATGTCTGCATATACGTATGTGTGTATATATATATATATTCTATATGATTGGGCTATGTGGGTGCGTGTTTTTGAAGGCACCCTTTCCGGGCTGGTTTAAAGGGAAACCAAAAGAAACAACACCAGTTCCAAACGTGTTCGCCTCCGACATCCTGGCGTTCCCGCGGTTCCCTTTGGCTTTGAGACAAGGCCCCAGGCAAGCAACCCCAAAAAAGCAGCAACCCCGTGCTTAGGCGGGTGGGCCCCTTTTTGGAGCCACGGTATCAAAAAGCGGGAGGTGCCCAAAAGGCGCCAACGAGACCTCCGAAAGTCACTGGATTTCCCCTGATGATCAATACCGGTTTGCCTCGAACGATCGCCGCTGGAATTCCAACAAAGGGAAATGGAGGAAACCACATGCAGATCCCTTTAAACCAACCCCACAAAGGGTACCCACAAAGAGAAGAGAAGTGACCCGGTGCTGCCTGGGTTCGGCCCGAAACCGCTTCTGCCAACTAGATCAGGTTACGAAAAATTGGTGGCTTGGATTGACTTTTCCCTTTTCTAGAATCCAACAGCTCAGAAGGTCCCCAGGAAGGAAAGGGTTGGTGGGATTTGGACCTGAAGCCCTGGATCTTGTGGAGGGTAAATGGGAAAGCCGACCCCACCAAGCCACCAATCCAACCACAAGTTCGGGGGAAGCTTGAACTAACATGGGGGAGGGGGGAGGGTGGGGGTTCCCATGTTGAACTGTAGTCCGCACTGCAGAAAGCTAAGGGAGGGAATTCGGTTTCGGAGGTTCGGTTTCAGTGGGCTCCGGGGCTGGGCATGGCCGGGCTGGTGGGTTGATTGGGGGAACCAAGAGGATTACTACCGTTTTGAGAGGTCCCTCCCAAAAAAGGTAAAAAGTTGGGATGTTAGACAATTGTTACCATCATACTGCGGATGGTTCATGTTTCTCCGTGCGGACATTGCCTTTGCCCAAGCAAGAGTCACCAGCGAGTCGATCCGACAGGCTGCGCCGGAGCTGCTCATGCGCGCCTTGTACCTCTCTCGCCCGGTGCCCCAGAGCGTGTCTCTCCTTTTTTGAAGCGGGGGGGGGGCCTGCCCCGAGTGTTGGTGGCTTTGAAGCGAAGCCAAAAGGAGAACCCTAAAAAGGGACATTCAACCTACAAAAAGACACCAAGTGACAAAAAAGATGCAAAACCTCCCTTCGCTGTGCAAAAGCCGAAGAGAATGGCAGGCCTGGACAGATAGAACTTTATACGTCCCTTTTGACTCGTCTCGTTATCCAGAGCTCATATTTGAGACTAGGCAAAGTCGGGGGGAAACTCCAATCTCCTCACCCATTCTTTTCATTCGCTTGGGGTTCCCAGCCGTCCAGTTCTTTTGGTGTTTAGGTTTTAGTTGGCTTAGTGGGGCATGTCATTTCACCTACAAGTTCAACTTTTAGGAGGGATCTGAAAACGCACAATTTACTGGGGGACACCAGCCCTGGAATGATGAAGAAGAGGATGAAGAGGACTGGTATGGCTGGATGCACAAGGCAAAAAAGGACCAGAAGTCATCTCCATGGGGAGCTCCTTCGGAAGAGAAGCTTCAGGGGCAGAAGGGACCCAAGGTTGTGAAAGGAGAACACGGTGAGAAGAAATGAATTGTGGACAAGGCAGACATGTCCCAGGAGGCTCTTCCGGAAGGTGGATACCAAGTGCTGCAAGTTGGATTGAGCGTTATCCACTCCATGGTGGATGAGATGGGAAAGGCCAATCTCCTTGCACGTTTTTGTTGGGAGCCATGAGCCTTGGGGAAGTCTAGTCATCTTTATTACTAAGAAAGTGGTGGCAGCGTATGGCGTTTAGGGTGTGTTTAAGCGAACCCAAGCTGTTTAAACAACCACTCATTGTAAGACATATTTCGGATGTTTAAACATTTGGATGATTGACAATTTGATGATTTCACCAAGCGGAGGGCATCTGATTCCCGTTGATGGCATGACTGTTCTACAATGTTTAAGCGGACCCATGCTGTTTAAACAAGCCCTCATTGTTCAATCATTTCTTGATGATTAATACTTTGTTTAGTCAGTTTACATGTTTAAGCTGTTCAAGCACAGCTAGAGCTAAACCGCCTCGGCCTTTTGCTGAATTCGTTTAAAATCCTTTTAAACTGCGCCAACGTTTCAACAGTTTAAACAAAGCCCACGCCCAACCCAGTTTCTGAGACTCACCCCAAGCAACCGCAAAACCTTACGGTCGATGGACGACACATTCTGCGCCATAGGTGGCTTGCTCCTCAGGTTTCATCCATCTTAGCTGCGAGGTGGATTTTGTCCATCCACGTATGGTGAGCGCTTCAGCTTGCGCAGTAGTTTTTGCATCCGAACACCTTTCAGAGAACACGATCGCCTTTTCCCAGCTGTGGCTGCTACTTGGGTGAAAGTGTCCGGAAAAAAAAAAGAGAGTGCGATCGCCGAGCCGCCGAGCCGCAGAGCCGCGCGACTCGAGGCATGAGCGGGGGCTTCAGCCAGTGCATCACCGACAGCCTGGACGTGGCGCTGGAGGAGGTGGAGCATGTCCCTCGGACCCGAGACGCACCAAGGTGGGTGCGAGAAGTCAAGGTGTCACTCCCCGAGGTCCCGGTTTCTTTTTTTCACTCCTTTTTTTTCTTCTTTTTCTGGGAGGGGGGACCAGAGTTCCGTGTTTTCCGCTTTTTTCTGCTATTTTTTTTTGGGGGGGGACACCATGTTAGTGTTTTTTTTTGTTTTATTTATTTTCTTTTTGGGAGGCGAGGTTCCGCTTTGTCTTTCTTTGTGTTTTTACGGGACTCTATGTTCGGGTTTTCTCCTTCTTTTTTTTTTTTTGGGGGGGGGGGAGTCCATGTTAGTGGCAAACAACAAGTTCGGACCCGGTTTTGGCCGTGAATTCACTCAGGAAGTGAGAAATCTATTTTTGGTTTATTTGTTCAGTTTTTCACTACTTGTGCTTTTGCATATATCCCTGAGTAAGCTCCACTTGACCCAAAGCACCCATGTCTTGGGTTCGACTCAACCTGAAGGTGACGACTCCCTTTCAGAATTTCAGGTCTCTTGTAGCGTGCTCTTTGTTAACCCTTCTTTAACGGGCAGAAGCACCAGTTGCAAGAGTGGTGTCAGGGATGTGTTTGGCAGAATGGGAGCTTGATTTTTGTGTGCCGATCGGCTCACTTCCCAAGTTGCTGCTTCCGTGCCAGAACGCAGAAGAGGCTGTGGGTTTTGATACCTTTCGGGAAGACCAGTGCAGACAGAAAGCCAGTTCGCCCCTTTTATGTGGAGTGTCTATGGCTCCTCAAAATGGGGGGAATGTACTGTGCCCACGTCATTCATGATCTTCATGTGTTTCTATTTTTTTGGAGGGGGGGGGGGGAGGGGTAGTAATCACTTGTTTTGTGTTTTTTCTTCACGGGGGCACTCCATGTTTGCAGTGGCCTCATTTTGAGGCAACGCTGTGGATGGACATCCACCACTTTGATCCCATGGGAATGAACCCAGAACTTTTGTTGGAATTTACATTGGGGAATCGCATCATCTTCCATTTGTTTAAGACTATGTTTTTCCCCTTTTTTGTTTTGAAGGGAATCTGTGACTACTGATTGTTTTCTTCTAATTTTCCAGGCGGCTTAAGCAAATGAGCCACAATCAAAACCCGGGTAGATGAAGGTTAGCGCAGGGCAGTCCCAGCCAGAAATAGTTGCGGACATCCGCCTTCTTAATTCTTGAAGCATGGTTCTGGGATTACGACCATTTCAATACCGGGCTTTGTGACTCAAATGGAAGTCCTTCCATTTTTCTTTTAGGTGGTGCGAGTTGGGTTTCGTCCGAGGCGATGCTGGACCCCCGAGTGGCCAAGTTTGGCACGGGACCCGGGGTGCGCACGAATCGATCGTGGCACCAGTTGGCTGTGGGTCAAAGCTAGGTACCCAAAATGGAACCCTGGTAAGAGGAAACATGGACTAAAATGTGCGGTCCCCTGGTGGTTTAATTTTGACCCACAGCCAGTTGGTTGATGTCCGTTTGTAGGACTTGGATTCCCTGAAATGGCTTCGGATTTTTTTTTGGTTTTCCTTGAAAACCACCAAACGAGGGGTACCTCAAAAGAGAGAACAAATGGTGGTATCCAATAATCACGTGGTTGTTTTTTGGTGTATCCCAGATGACGATCGGCGTGACGGATGGGTTTTTAGTGCAAAGTAGGCGTCCTGGTTTAGTTTTAGTTTGCTTGAGATAGATATTTATAGATTAGAACAGTGATATTGTGGTTGTTGAAAATATTGCAGGTGCAAGAATACAATACATAAATTAGTTGGCTAAATCAATGTGTTTGTACCACTAATAAAGTTGTAGTTGTACAATATATATATATATATATATGTATATATATATATATATGTATATGCATACATGTATATACATACATACATACATACATACATACATACATACATACATACATACATACATACATACATACATACATACATACATACGTACATACATACATACATACATACATACATACATACATACATACATACATACATACATACATACATACATACATACATACATACATACATACATACATACATACATACATACATACGTAAATACATACATACATACAAACATACATACATACGTACATACATTCATGCATGCATGCATACATTACATTACATTACATTACATTACATTACATTGCATTGCATTGCATTACATTACATTGCATTACATTACATTCATACATGCATACATACCTACCTTACATACATACATACATACATACATGCATGCATACATACATACATACATGCATGCATACATACATACATACGTACCCACATACATACATACATACATGCATGCATGCATACATACACACACACACATACATACATACATACATACATACATACATACATACATACATACATTCAATTACATTACATTACATTACATTACTTTACTTTACATTGGATTACATTACATTACATTACATACATTACATACATTACATACATTACATACATTACATACATTACATACATTACATGACATGACATTACATTACATTACACTACACTACACTACATTACATACATCTGGCCAGCTTTGGGTGTTTTCCATGGGAGAAGATCAACAGTTGCCCGTTCCAACTTCCTTTTGGTTTCCAACTTACTGTGGATGAACTCCGTTTCGCACCGCCTAAGATGCCCTGGTTTCTGATGATTCCCCTGTAGATTCCAGCAAACAACGGTTTCCCCCATGGTTTCAAAGTGGTGCAGCAATTCAAGCTTTCCTGTAGTTGGCAATGTCCACCAAAGTGGTCGCTCCATTTTGCTTTTTAGAGACACCCAAATGACTCCTTCCTGCCGCATGCTGGTGGTGTCTCCATTTTTTTTTGGACCACCAAAGGTTTTAACAGGGGGAGGTGTTTTCCGGTGTCCTCCAAGGGGTCCCCTTTCTTTGGTGTTTTTCTTGCGGTTGGTAAAACAGTGTCCACCAAAGAAAACGGGTAAAAGTCTAAGCTAGGTCCACCAATCAGGTCTCTGGTAAAATGTTTTCTTGTGGCCCCCTCAGGTCTGTTAAGAGTTCAAAGTCATTGCCCCGGCTACGCATAAGGCCCTACGGTGACGAGCCGCGTCTTCCTGCACATGCTGGCGGAGATGGACGGCGCTACGCCAGACGCCCAAGACAAGATGTGCTTGTCTTGAATTGATGGGTGGTTTCCTTTTGGTTTCCCTTTGCACTATCCTTTCCCTGAAAAAAAGCCAACACCAGGAGGTTGTTTAAACCAGTTCTTTTTGATTTACCGTTGTGAAATATAAAGCCAGATCAAAACTGCCCTGAAAGGCAGTAAGGAACCAAGCAGGTCATGTTGTTTGCTTCAACTTTTAAAGCAACCGGGAACACTAAGACCCCCCCAACCTTTTAAACACACATCTTTGTTGAAGACCACAGAAGCACACACAGGGTGCCCATCAGGGGGTGTCTGGGTCAAGAAATTCAGCCACTTGAGAATTGGGCCCACCATGTGGAAATTTTGATGCCCAAGCACCATAGACTTGCTGATTTGCCGGCTTTCAACCAAAAAACACCTTGTTGGTTGGTATTGAACGGGAAGCCAAAAGACAACCACCCGTTCCAGGAAACGGACCCCTATTCCGCTAAGAAAAAAAACATATGGCTGTGGATCAAAATCTCGTACCCACTAAAATAGGTTCTAAAATGGGTGGTGAATTCACCTACCAACCAAAATGGGATCCCATTGGTCTTGACAACCACAGCCATATATGACGCCTGGGGACACGGGGTAGCGTGCGTTTAAGTGGTCGAGGGGCCATCGATTCCAGGCTGGAGGAGATCGAGCAAATGTTCACCGACACCATCAGCAGCCACGTGGGGCCCGGCGCCCAAGCGGTCCAACAGGTCCGCCGAACAAGGCGAAGGTTCGCCCCAGTTGGAGCTGAGATCAGTTGCGAGTTTCTGAAATGGGGGGGGACCTCGTTTGGTGAGGGACGCCAAAATTTGGAAACCCTTGCTGGAAATGGGCCCCTATTTTGCTAGAGGGGGGCCTGGACCCCCCCCCTTGTGGCAGTTCCATTGGATCGACGGTGGTGGTGATTTTCTGAAGACTCGACATGCTGGTCCTGGTGCGAGTCGGAGGGACAAATTGGGATGAGTACTTGCGGGGCCGATTCTCACAGGTTTCCCAGAACCCCCTTGACTTGGGGAAAACGGGAAACGGGGAAAGACCTACCTGTGGGGGAAAAACCGGGAAACGCTTACAAAGCCTTTGGACCGTTATATCAAGATTTCTCCTGGGGAAAACGGGGGACAAAATCAACCTGCTAACGGTATATCAAGATCCCTTTTCTCCTCGTGGTTTTGGATGTAGCGAATGTCCTCGCAGGCATTTCCACAAAGTCCTTGGAGTAGGTGATCCTGTCGACATAGTATGTTTCTATATATATATATATACACACATGTGTATACATATATGCACATACATATATGCACATACTTACATACATATTTACATATATGTACAAATCTACACATTATATATATTTCTGTATATCTATATATCGCTCCCCCCAAACAGTAAATACACCGCCCCTCCTTAAGAAAATATTTGCCTGGAGGCGGAACAATAGTCTAATAGTCTTGAATGGGGTCAGTCCTGGTCCAAGTAGCTTTCAGCATGGCAGTTTCGGAGTACGGAGTCTTGTTTGGTGGGTGTTGGTTTCGAACTGTTTACTGTTTTGCACTTTTGGCGGCTTAGTATTGCTGGTTTAGAATTGGTTCTACAGTGCCCCTAATTCGACTGGAGTTGGGGTCGGCGGGAAGTTTGCTGGTTTAGAATTGGCTTGGTTTTGGCTAACTCTACGTGAGAGTTTGGAGACTACTGCAGGGGTCTGGGGAGAAATATCCTTACTCTTCCCGCGTGCATTTATCAATGTCGTATGTATCCTTCATATACCCATCACATATTGAGGCATATTGTCTATACGCGCGACTGCCTTCATGTTTATAAGACTACAGAAAATGCCGGGCGGAGACAGTTCTAGGGTAGCATACTGAATTCGGTGCAAAGCGTGGTAGGACCATGACGGAGGTGGGTAAGATCACAAACACATACGGCGTTGGAAAACAAGGCTAATGAGTGCAGCCAGGGGCGGGGTTGGAGGATTGGGGAACACCCGTCCATTCGAACATCTGCGATAGCGACTATATACATTATATATACACATATGTTTACCGTGTTTTCAGGCATCTGCAAACGAGGCACACGAAGTAGACTTAACACCTTCAACTAGAAGAGAGGAAAGGTAGGCTCTGGGCGTGCGAGGGGGGGGGGGACCATATATATATATATATATATATATAAATAAATAAATAAACAAATAAATAAATCAAGACAAAAATATGGTATGTATCAGGGACACCTACCGGAGGGGCATGACACGCAAAGGCTTGCCAAACTGGTCCCATGACTTGAGCTGCGCCGAGAAACTCGACCGACTCATGTGAACCCACCCCTTTTCGGGGTCCCGGCGGTTGTTTCATGGGTTCAGTTCCGTGTGAATTTGGCTGTGGGTTGCATGTTCACGAACTGAACTGGACCCTTTTGGCACAAAACCCACATTGGGCGGCTCGTCATTTTGTGAGGGTGCCCCCCTCCCCCCCTCCGTGTTTTTTTGGGTGGTTTGTAAGGGAAACCGAAAGGACAACCCAGCCATGTTGGTGGGGTCCGACTAAAAGAGCCGGACACGCGCTTCCTGGGCTCTGGGCCGCGGCTTCAAAGGCACCGGGGCTCGGACTTCATCAAGCTCTGCATCGATGAGATCGAAGTGAAGGTTCACCACCGCACAGGCGGGAAGCGGCCGAAGCGGAAGTCGACTTGGACCCAGCGGTTCGTTCTCCCAAAAGAGAAAACCATGGGTTTCAGCTTATCTTAGGGTAGTCGAAGATACTTTTGGGACGGTTTGGGAGGGTTGTTGAATTTTGGAGTGCCCCAAAGTGGACTTAAACCTTGAGGGGCGGGTCATTCCCCCGAAAGGAGAAAGAAACCATAAGTTTAAGTCCGTCTTGGGGTATATAGTCAAACAGTGGAACCGTGCTTGGGACTTTTTTTGGATCTAAAGACTTCCTCAGAATGACCCTCTAAATGGCCAAACGTAATTTTGAGCACCCAAAATGTAGCGACTTTAAGGGATCCGGTGGTTGGACCCCGTTTTCCCCGCGACGGGGAGTCACTTGGGCACTTGGAAAGAGAAGGGGCATCCCAATCTACATGGTTGTGGAAGACAGCTGTGATGATATCGATGACTACTTTCTCACAAACCGTTTCTGTCTCTCGCCACAAAAGTTGGCTCGGAACCCGGGCTGATCGATCTCCTGTCAAGCTGAAGCGCAGAAAGCATCGTCCATGCCAATGGGTCCCGAAGGCTTGGCTTTGATAGGGAGCCTTGGCAGTCTATGGATTCGATCATTTTGAGCCACAACCCAGCGGCAAACCTTGTCTCAGGTTACGAAAGGAACTTGTTCCCCCTTAGTGGTTTGGTGGACAAGTATTGGCCACCACTCCATTTCGAACATCAGCCCTAGTTCGATTCAATAACCCGGAGGTTGAGTAATAACAGCGTACCATTTAAGAGGGCCTCCTTCCTCTTTGGGGAGGCAGCACCCGCCCCACCCACTATCAGCCAATCAGACATACTGTGGATGGACGAAATCCATTTCGCACCACCTCAAAACCCTGGAATGATTCGATTCCCCGTAAATACCAACAAACGTCATGGTTTCGTTCCCATGGTTTCAAAGTGGTGGAAACTAGATTTTGCAAGCATTCAAAGTATGAATCCAGGGCAGTTCCTTGCCCAAATGGTTATTTCGATCGTTCGAGGCCGACTCTTTGGTCTGTCGGAGATTGATTGGATACGCCAGAGCTAACAATCCCCTCTACTACAAACATCCTCTGTGTTTTATGGCATGTTTTCGGCAAACCCTGGTTTTCCCGGGTAAATACCTCCTTTGTGAGTAAAGGCTTACCCTAGAAAAGGGGGGATTGGGTGCGGGGGGTCTGCTTCTCGAACCGCACCCGCAAGCCGTAAGCAACGTCGGCCATGCCCGTGGGAGTCGCCAAGATTGCGGATTCAGCCCACTAGAGGGGTGCTTGCTTGCTTGTGTGATCTTCAAATAGGGACGCCTCTGGCGGCCGTCATTTTGAGGTTGCTGCCATGCAGGATCCTGGGGCGTCATTTACAAGGTAATTTGTGCCCGCCCAGCCATTGTTGAGCTGCTCCTCTCAAAATCTTCTTGGCCAAGTGTGAGGTTGCTACCATGCAGGATTCCTCCAGGTTGCTGAAATTTCCCATATACGTGTTCTTTTTTTCAAGGTATCGCTTCTGGAGGTGTTTCAACGAAACCCAATGGACACCGTCCATTTTAGAGGGGTCCCCTATTCTGAAACACACCCATGCGTGTTATCGTGTCAAAGGTGCCCCTTTTCGGACCTAAAGCGGCGCAAAACATCTACCAAGCAGAAAATGGAAATGACTCCTGCGCCACAAACTTCATCGCACCCAGATTCATCTAGAATTTATGTTTTTCTTGGTGGTTCTCAATCACAAACGGACCCCCTAAACAACACCATCAAGGATGGCATAACGTTAAACTCATTAACCTGTAAACATGTCTCATGACCACCTGTAAACTCATTCACTCCCCCCAAAAAAAACAACAACAGACACAAACAAGACAACTTTCCAACTCAATCCCCCCTGTGATGTCGTGACCCCTGTAACCCCCCCCTTCCCCCCCTCCCCCCCCTCCTCCTAAAAAAAAGAAAGACGCATGACCCCTGTAAGCCCATGCCCCCCCCTACCCCCAAAAAACAAAATCCCCAGTAAGCCCATGCCCCCCCTCCCCCAAAAATCAAAATAAATCCCCACAAAAGAAAAGCCAGAAACAACAAAAAAAACGATTTGGGTCCTTCCAATTCTGATTGCCAGGGAGCAGCCTGGAGATCCTGAGGCTCTCGCTGTCCTCCTTGCGCCAGGGGCCCGCTGATGGATGGAGGATGCCATGCGCTTGTTGTTGGGAAACATTTTTCACATTTTTGCTTCTTGTGGTTTAGTGGTTAAAAAATCCAACCGCTTAATTGCTGAAATTTAAACATATTTTTCGCTCCCCTTCCAAGGTCAACCAAGATGCCATGCGCTTGTGGTTGTTTGGGTATGGGTCAAAATGAAACCAGGAATTGGACCGTAGAGTTGTTGTAGTCCATGAAGCCCATTTGCCAGGGCCTAAGCCATTTGGGGGTTACCCTATTTTTTTTGACACCCACCGCCGTTTCGACCGGTTCCTTTGCTTGCTGGTGCGATAGGCAGGGATTGCGACGTGGAATGAACCAGTTGCGCATTCCCGAAAGGAAGCCATAGGAAATGGATTCATTGGTGTCATACCCTCATTCCCTGCCTATCGCACCAGCAAGTTTACTCGGGGTTGACGTTGGGATGCTCATCCAACTGGTAAGGATCTGGAAATTACCATTGTAATTATTATAGTTTGATTCGCACTAAGAAGGGACCTCTGGAAGATCAGTATTTCCTATTGGAGAGGCCAGTTCCCTGCCAGATGCCACGGCAACGTGGGAGGGAGGGTATAACCATGGGTTTGCCAACCGCTTAGGAGACTTATAACCCACCGTAGGAGACTTGTGACCATGGGCTTTTGTGGGTTCCTGGATTAATTTCCTATTGGAGGGACGAATTCCGCGACTTAGGAGACTTAGAACCCACTTAGGAGACTTATAACCACTTATAACCACTTATAACCATGAGCTTTTGTGGGCTGTCTCACCACGGTTTGTTAGCCACTTGCTGCAAGTCGAATGCAGGCAGAGTCTCCGGCTGCCGAGGCGGGGGCTTTTTGAAGCCGAAGGTCTTGCGGGAGTTCCCGGACCCGGTGACGGGGTTCCCCCTGCGCCGGGGATCCGAGCGAAGGAGAGCCGAGGGGGTCAGAGTGACCCGTGGATGTGAGCTGCCAAAGGGAAAGCGGGGCTGTGGTTTCTTGAGGGTACCCGATTTTTTGGTAGTTTTGATCGAACACCATTTTGGGGGAAGGCCCTAAAACATGGCATACCCAAATAGGGTTCCCTTTAACCTACCAAGGGGGTGACGTTTCTATTGCGAAATCAAGGGCCAGATGACATTACCTATCAAGGTGGGTGACTTGTTTGTGTGTCGAAAGAATGACCACGGCCAGAACGAATGGTTCAATGACCCTGCTGCTTGGCGGTTCCCAGCCATCCCGTCCCTTTGTTTTTTTCAGGTGTTTAGTTGATTTCGTGGTTGGGTTTCCATTAGATCAACAAGTTTTCTTCACTTTTAGGAGGGATCAGTTTGGACAGCCCTGATTAGCTTCCCGTTACTCGAAGCTTCGGCTCTCAGTTGGTTCCCGTTGCAGTCGATTCAGTCAATTGCTGCGATTTTCTCTTTTGCAACCATGTTTAGTTGGGTGTCAAGAGGCCATCTCGGATTTGTTGCCCATGTTGAACCTGTTTGATACCCACCTTGTGGGTCTCCCGCTCAAGGGGGAGACCTTTTTCACCTTGATCCATTGGGTTCTAAGACATGGGGTGCTTTTGGATGCCACCATGGGTTAACCATGGGGTCCTGCTGTGGATGGACGAAATCCGTTCGCACCACTTGGAAATCATGGGAAACCATTGTTTGTTGGTATTTACAGGGGAAGCATCATTCCAGGGTTTCTTAGGTGGTGCAGGATTTCGTCCATCCACAGTATGAGAAGGGGCGGTGGCGTAGCCTTCCAAAACCCTCCTGTCAACGTCCATTGTGGGAAGGGTGGACATTTGGCTGTGTCTCTCTTTTGTTCAGGGCACTCTTTTTCGGGTTTACAAAAAACACCAAAAGGACACCGTGGCCATTTTTGGGCTGCCCTTTTGAGCAAGCCTATTTGGCAGGAAACCAAGAACCAAGACCCGGTTAAACTGGTTGGTGGAAAGCCTCTTCTTTACCGTCCCTTTTTATTTTATTTGCTTAAGAATGTGATGTTCTTTTTATATTTCCCCCGTTAGTTGTTTAAAGGACATTTCTACCACTACAGCAAAAACAAGAAGCAATACACACACACACACATGTTGTATCTGCAAGCCGAAATTTAGTTGTTTTGGGGTGTGAAAAGAAACGGGCTTTGTGTGACAGGAAACCGTTTCCGTGTGCCGAAGCGGCTTCTTCTCGGCACAAAACGACTTGCTGGTGCTCAATAGGGAATGACCCAGTCCGGGTTTTGGGCATGAACCATTTGGGGATTCCCTGAAAGGAAACCATACAGTGGGCAATTGCGAAATCCATTTCGCACTAGTGTTCAGAAAAAAAAAAACTGGCTGCTGATAACTCCCCTGCAAATGCCAACAAACGTCACGGCTTCAACCGTGGTTTTATTTCGTGGTGCAAGACTCGCAGATTTCGCGTCCCCATCCACACTATTTGAGTGTCTTTCTTCGGGTTTCATTTGGTGGTGCCACATGGACTTCGCGTCCCCATCCACCGTACTTAGATGGTCTGGGACGAATCGCTAAATGCCTAGCTTCGCCCTGGTTACGGGGACTTGCAACCATTGCTTTGGTGGGTTACAACCAGGGCGAAGCGAATCGTTCTTCCAAAGGACCACCCGCCGCAGGGGATGGGTTTTGCTCGGGGTCATCCCACCTCATTCCCGCAAGCCGAGAAGCCGAGGCTGGGAGGCGGCCAAGGAGGGCGCGGCGCTGCAGACCCAGGAGCACCCCCACGCCGGGGCGCCGAGAGCTGGGTGAGACGAGAGGTTTGTCCCCTGGCGATGTGTGTGTGTGTGTGTGTGTGTGTGTGTGTGTGTGTGTGTGTGTGTGTGTGTGTGTGTGTGTGTGTGTGTGTGTGTGTGTGTGTGTGTTTGTGTGCGCGTTTTTATGCTTTTGTTTTTTGAAGCCTGAAGTTCTGAAGTAAAAGGTAGGCCTAGAGAAAGAAACGCCTCTACCTCTGTTTTTGGGATGGGCTGAATTTGGACACTGGTTGAACTTGGCCTTACTATAACCCCAATGAAACCAATGAACAAGGCCGCTAATCTCGACAACCCCCCGCCATCCCATCCCATCCCCATATGCAAAATGTTCGTCGCAGATTTGGGTGTGTCGTCTTTTGAGGGCACCCTTTTTTGGTTGGTCTTTAAAGGCCGAAAGGAATACCCAGGGTCCGATTCTAGACACAGTTTCTCGCGAGCATGCAGGCGAACACCCATGAATTTGCGACCGATTCGTCACCGAATCGAGATTATCACTTTGAAGTTTGAAACCAGGTTCAGATCTGGTGTTCAAAGGGAGCAGAGAGTTCAGATCTGCCTTTGAGTCCAGTTCATTCCCTTTGAAACCACTCTGCCTTTGAGTCCACAGATCTGGTCTGTTCAAAGGCAGACGCACGTTACGAAACTTGCTGGTGTTCAATAGGGAATGACCTTCCGAAGGGGATTCCCTTACCGGAAGCAATAGGGATTGTTTTCCATTTCTCATTCCCTGACTATCGAACCAGCAAGGAAATGAAGAAGGGTTCTCTAGTGTTTTTTTTGTTTTCATGTTATGCATGGAAAATACACCAACTCTCCATCCAGTACACAGGCGATCGCTTCCCTGAAAAGTGGCATTGGGCCAAAATCAGGATTCAGACCCTCAAAAATGGGTGGTGTTCTGTGACCAAGACACAGCTCCACATGCAGCTGCGAAGCCACTTTCGATGCGACTCCCCTCGCGCAAACAAATACTGGCTTCGCGCTGGCAGGACTCATCTTTGCCTTTTCTTTGCCTGGTTTGCTGAAAAAATATGGGCAAGGGTGTTTTCAAGGCGTCAGACCAGTTGCCATGTGCGATCGTGAGCATTCAAGGCCACTGTTACAGAGTTCTCATTTGATTTTATGCATTAAAGGCTACCGGGCAGGACAAAAGGACTCGCATCCAGCATGTTATAAAGCGAGACTACATCTTGTTCAGCCGGAATTCCCACTTACATGGAACTTGACGGGCCCTAGAGTGGGTTCCATATGTGCCACGTTCGAGAGACATCTTCACACTGCTTGGTAGAGATGGTGACACCCCTTGTTCGGACATGTGGTCTACCATTGTTGGACATTCAAGTTCTCCCAAGTTATGTTATGTGAGCACTTTTTCAGGTGGGTGGTCGTTCTACTTTCTTTTTTGTCGTGTAAGCAAATCTGTTGATAGGTAATGGCATACTGACATGACAATGGCTCAAGAAAAACAAGCTGCTGCCCGTGCTGACTTTTAGGTAGATCCCACCTTTCAACAGGTTATCAGCCGTATCGCTGGTACCTTGTACAGTCAGCTCTCACCCGCGCCGCAATGGCGTCAAGCGGCGACGGATGCCACCCTGCCATAGCAAGGATGAACGAAGCAGTGGCCAACGAATTGATCAAGGGTGGGCATCCGGAAGGGAAACCGCCATGCAATCCGTCACAGCGCTCCCGAAGCAGTTTTCCTGAATCCGACCAAGGTGATGCGCTTGTGCCCATCACATCGGTCGTTCTTCCGGAGGATTCGATGGGAAGCGGAGGGGAACCTCTCGCCGGACATCAACCTGGGCAAGAGATGCACGCGCACATGACTAAGAATGAGACTCACCTTCATCAACATCATGTGAGCGCCCCGAATATATATCAACATAGCCAGACGGTGAATGTGGTCAACACAGGTCCGAGCACGGAGGAAGTGGCTGCCTATGCTTCGGCACGCCACGACGCCATCATCAATCAGCTCCAAGCCGGCCATGTTGAGGAAAAAGGCCGACTCTATCAGGACGCGGTGAACCACATCAATGTATGCCAACAAGAGGCAATGGCGAAAGAAAGAGAGTTCAACGAGGCAAGACAGCAGTGGGTTGCTCAACGCTCAGAAGCTGAACAGAAGTATGAACGGCTCAAATTGATTTGGGAAGTCACCCACAACAAGCAGAAGGAGGAAGCGGACAGGAACGCTGCTGAAATGAGGGAGATTATCATGAAGCAGTCGAGGGACATTGAGGCACTACGTCATGAACTGAAATCTCGCAGTGAGCAGAGTAGTTCTTCTAATGTTCCGATTTTCGGTCTGAGGCCAAAGGCCTCTCCTGTACAGACGTTTCCTCCCCCTGGCCTGGATCTTAGTTCTAAGGTACGTGTCAGGTCAGCTTCCACCGAACTCCGCCGTGACGGGCCAGGTGCCGCCGATGATCTTGACGGGGATGCCGGGGAGTACGAACCGACATCTCCGGCACAGGACCTTAACGATGGTGGCGGATGTCCATCAGGCGCAGGGAATGGCCAGAGCGGAGGCGGTGGGGAACCACCTGCCGGTAATCCAGATGATGACGATGATCCTGACGACGACGATGACGATGGGAATGACGACGGGAAGAAGAGCAAGAAGGACAAGAAGAAGAAGAAGAAGGATAAAAAGAAGAAGAGCAAGAAGGACAAGAAGAAGAAGAAGAAGAAGAGCCACAAGAAGCGAAAGAGTGGGTCTCCTTCCGACTCTCCAGCTCTTCATCATCCAGCTCCTCAACATCATCATCCTCATCATCATCATCGGAGAAGGCACGAGTGATCCGCAAGAAGCTCAACAAGATCTTGGGTAAGCAGGCGAGCGCAGTGGACGCAGACCATGACAAGCCCAAGGTCAAGGAGGCGGAGAGGATTATCATTCCCTCCTTCCCACTTCCTGAGAGTTACAGGAATTGGCGCATCAAGGTGCGGGAAGCCGTATGCGCGGCATCCGATCGCCCCGATGACGCTTTCACGTGGATCAGCAGAGTGTGGGAGCCCGCCGTTACAATCGAGGAGCTCAAAGAACCCGGGACCTTCCTCACCTTGGACGCCAAGTTGCTGTCCGCCCTCACCAACATCATTCAGGGTGACCTGGCGAGACAAGTCGACACCTTCAAGGAGGTAGAGGCGCAGAAGAGGAATCCAGTTCGTGGGAGACAAGTGCTTCTCATGGTGCACGAGCACCTGAGCACGAACATCAAGCACGGAGCCACCTATGCCATGGAGGATCTCCTCAACGTGAGGCTCGTGAACGATAACCTCACTTCCTTCATGCGTAGCTGGGAGGGTGTTCTTGCAGGAATGAATGCCAAGACGCCGGATGACTCCATGCTTGAGGCTCTGTTCTACAACCAGCTGAAAAAGAGCAAGCAAATGCAACACCATTTGAATGTCTATTTGAGCGCCTCGGAAGAGTCCGCCGATCACTCATACACCTACTTGATTGAATCTGTGAGGCAATACCTGTCTCGAGCAAGGCTCGAGCGCAACCGAGAACGGGTTGCTAGGCAGAACGGGGGCAGGCCAGCCGCACCCGCCGCTGAGAGCCAACGTGTGCCTAAGGGGTTTTGCATTGCATTTGTCAAGTATGGGTCGTGTCGGCGGGACAATTGCACGTACAAGCATGAACAGCCATCGGGCGATGCCAGGGGTAGGACCCCATCAAGAGACGCTAAGCCCAAGAAGGGTAAGGGTAAAGGCCGAACGAATAGCCCAAAGGGAAAGAAAGAGTGCCGTTTCTACCCTAAGGGGAGGTGTGACCGTGGTGAGAACTGCCCATTTGCTCACATCGACCCGAAGCCGGCCGTTCCAGGGTCAAGGGAACCATCCGCAGACAAGCAAAAGAAGCAAGGAAAGGATCGGAAGCATCGCAAGTCGAGTAGGGATCGTTCTAAGTCGACCTCTCGATCCACTTCCCGTGATTCCAAGGGAGAAAAGAAGAAGGGTCACAAGGGAAAGTCTTCCGGAAAGCCTTCTCCTGCTGCTGTTTGTGTGTTGGGATGCTTGTTGTCTTCCATGATGAACGTCCCTATCGCTGAGGGGAACCTCATGTCGGACTGGAAGCATATGCCTGCCCTTCCAAGTGTGCGTTTCAGCTCGAAGGTTGAAATGAATCGGATACCAGCACATGGTGAGCAGTTTAAGATCGCGGACAAACCGCGCGTGTATTCAAAGGTCTACCCAATCGACCATCAGTTTTTCCATGACGTAGTCAGCATAGATGATGCGAGACTTGGAGCAACCATGCTCGCCTTTATCGTGAGGCGTGAATTGGAAGGCCATCCGACTAGATGCAAGTATGAATGTGACAGCGAGATCGGATGCGACCAATGCGCCCCGAGAGATATGCACGCAAAGCCCGCACTGGCGAGCAAGAGATTTTCTCCGAACTGTTCATGGATTATTGACACTGGCAGTGGGACCGACCTTTTCACTCGCGCGAATTGCCCCGAATATGCAATTTATAATTCAAATGATCCCGTGATGTTGATGACTGCCAATGGACCAAGTGATTCGTCAAAGCAGGCCAACATGGCCGCAGGTAACCTTGGAAACACGGATCCATACTTGTTGCCACAAACACCCTCTGTTCTCTCCGTAGGTTTGAAGTGCATGAATCAGGGTTATGACTTCATCTGGCATGCAAAAGAGAAGCCATTCTTTGTCAAGCCTGATGGGACGAGAATTTATCTCAAAGTTCGAGATTATGTCCCGTACTACGACGTGTGGGATAGCGACTCAGCATGTGCGTGTCCCGCCAGAGGAACACCGCCAAGCCGACCGGAAGGTCAGGTCGCCAGAAGCAGTTCACCGAGTGAATCATCATACTCCTCCTCCGTGCAAACTGAAGATGCCGCGGAAGAAGAGTATACGCCTAGCATTGCCCCTCTAGAAGATCCTGAGGTGCATGCTAGAGTTGTCGCCGAACTTCTGGCGAATGACCCCGTT